TTTTAAAAAAAAAAAAAAAAAAAAAAAAAAAAAGAAAAAAAAAGAAAATAATGATAAATCACGCATGACAATATGAAACGCGCTGAATAGCATTTATTAACACAGAAACAAAACAGCTTGGCAGTTTTTTCAAATATGTCAAAGAAACGCTATCGCGCCGCGTGGCACTAAAACGATTAAATGTCGCATATCTCGTCATTCGCGTGAATAAAACATTCTATTCAACAATTATAATTCGTTCCATTGAATTAATTACAACGTCACAACATCGTGAAACTTCTGGTTGTAATACTCGCGGAAGGGGAGATGCACGCATCGAGACGAAACTTCTGGAACGGAGTTTCTAACTCTCGACATATCGGTTTGGCTTTTATCGTAAACACGGGCGGATCCGCGCTCCGACGCGGGAACTCTCCGTTCGCTTCAGCTAAAGAAGAATGCGTAACGGGGGGAGGGATGGGGTGGGGTTAGGCAGCCGAGATCCAAGCGCGGAATTGACGGCTAATTTTCGCTAAAAAGCGTTGAATAGCGGTGGGTCGCAGCGGGAGCAACGGCAGGGCCGTCGGAGAATGGAGAAATGCCGGAATGGGGAGGAACGGACGGAACAGAGGGAAATAGGGAAACGGTTGAACATCGGGGAAAACGGTTTTGCGTTTAATGAAAAAACGTGCGGCTGCATCGCGTTGCACATCCTCGCGTGTGCCTGCATTAATGCCTGGCAAGTTTATTCATCCGGCGCCAGTGAGGAGAACAGCGCGCGCGTTCCCGTGTTTAATTCGCGGTATCGCGGCCCCGCGCTGCATTCAACCAAGACTAATTAATCGGGCTAATAATTAAAAACGCGTGCGTGCCGCGCGCGCGCGCCCGCCCGCCAACTTTTCTCCCTCGACATTCGTGTTTGCCAATGAATTGTTTCGCTCTGGCCCGGAATCTCTCTCATTGTCGGTGATCGTTTCGTTCAGTAAAGTTCAACACGTATGTATACGTACATATATCTCGTCTTTTCTCGTTTAAACACGTTACCTAAAGAACCGCTGCTCGACTTTGCAGAACTTTTCGGTTGTTCCGTGTTCCGCGGTCCTTCGATTCGAAGGACAGCGAGGCAGTAATTTATATGCAAATTGAACTCGGGGCTCACCTGTCGATAAAACCATCTCCGTCGCCGTCGCATGCCTGGAACAGCTTCCTCACGCGTTCCTCGTCGCAGATGGAGCCTGCTTCACTCTCAGCATCCGCGATTTGTGACATCTTCACTCTGCCTCTTGTTTATCCATTGTGACGAACTATCGGCGCACTAGCCATCTGTGTCGTGTCCATTCTTCCGCAACGTTTTTTTTTTTTTCTCCCCCTTGTCACGTTCAAGAGGTCACCTCATCGTCGCTAATCGAGTTTCTCTTATCGCTCCGGTGCATCTTCTCTCCCTTTAGTACTCTTTATGCTCGCGCGTTCAAACAGACACCGATTAGTCCGTGGACTAAACTAGTTTTGGCAACGAGACGTTCTCAGGTCCGTGAATTTCCGAGTGTCGAACGCGTCGAATGGCCAACACGGTGGATCGTTAAGTCACGTGTTGCATCGCGATCTCTCATTAATCGATCTCGGGAGACGTAATTCGAATCGTCGACCGCCACCGCGGCATCAGGTCCCGGGAACGAGAAGGTCTACGAACCTCGGTAGAAGCGACGGCTATTTTTAGACGTGCTTAAAGCACGTAGATTCCCTTGTTCCACGAGATTTCGCCGACACATCAAGTATAAACAGATCGCGGTTAGACGAGCGCGGCTAGTCAATCTCCCGGGTATATATATGTGTATATATTTTCGGCGCACGAATTTCAGAATCTTTTGACGCGAGATCGCGTGTGGGCGTTCGTCTTATCACTGGCTCGTCGTCGAAAGGGTGAGACAGTTACGTCTTTCCGGTGTGACCGTGCACGCACACGAAATCCCGCAACCGCTGTTCCCAGTGTCACCGAGTCACTAACCCTAACCTCAAAACCGGACTCGAGACTCACCCACCCTCGCGAGCCGTACAGCGGGCAATAAAAACTATCGATTGAGCGTTCCGCGGTCAAAAAACTTTGACAGCTCGCGCCATCTTGAAATTTTCGAGCACGACGAAAACAAAGATGGCGGCCGCGCCGCGAGCCGGCTGGCGGTACATTCGAATCTCGCTGAGAGATGTCGCCACTGGGAGCGACGAGTTTCTCTCTCTCTCTCTCTCTCTCTCTCTCTCTCTCGTAAGAAAGTAATTGAAAACGTTGCGAAACACACGTGTGTGAAGTATAGTGAAAATAAATTATCTTTATTACTTCAGTGTCGTTGAACAAAAGTAAAACTAAAATTCGTTTGCGCATGCGACGGTAACTTAAGCGTATATATATATATATAAGTTGCAGATGCACGATTCGTATGATAATCTCGGTTAAGACTTCAACTTCTCAGCCAGAGCAGGTAAAAGTTTCTTCAGTTTGCCAACATCGTGGCTGAAGGCCCACATTATGCATCGGGTGTGCTCTTCGGTGGGCAAATCCCGAAGTTCTTCGTCCGTCTCGTACCACTGAATACCTCTCTCCTTGATTCGGTCTGCTAGACTTCGTAGATTCTTATTCCTCTCTATGTCCCACGTGATACTCTTGTCTGGAACTTGAACGTTCCTCAGCTTCTTGTAGTCCCCCTCCACTTCCTTGTACGCTCTACAGAGTGTCACAAAAGAAAATATTATACAAATATCTTAATCGTAAATAAATAGTATTTTGTGTATTAACAATAACGTGACATTTACTGATTTTAATGATCTATAATAAAAGAAATGTACTTAAGAAATCCATTATCCTCGATCTTATATCTGTCGGCCAACGGCTCGAAGGCTTGCACCAAATCGATGGGCAAATAATTGAAGTTCTCCTTTGCCCGACCATTCACATTATAATCCGTGATCCAATTCTCCAACACTTCGACGGCTTCTTTCATGTTCTTGATCTTTTGCTCGTCCTTTGTGCACGACATCACTCGCTCGGCCCTTTTCACCAGGCCAGCGATCGCGTGGTACTGATAACTTACGTCTCTACCCTCCAACGACTTGATACTCTGCAAAGCTTTCGCCTTATCTTTGAAACTGAGTCCGCTCTCCTCTTTCTCAGTCTTTTCTCCTTCAGGTGACGGTTTCGCGACCTTTTTATCCGGCTCGTCGTTCTCCACCTCGTCGCTGGACGAACCGCTATGTCTTCTTTTCACACCTTTGTTCTTGGCATTTTCGTCCACCTCCATGTCCTCGTTATCCTCGGATCCAAACTTCTCCTCCACCTGGACTGCGAGTTTCTTCAGTTTAGCCGGGTCTGGACTATAGCCCAACATGATGCACTGGACGTGCTCCTTAGTTGGAAGTCCACGGAAGTCACCGACGTCGGTCTCGTACCATTGTATGTGCTTCTGTTTGATCTTATCGACGATCTGCTTCAGCCTTCGATTTCTCTCGATATCCCAAGTGGTCTCCCCGCTCGGAGTCTTAACGGCCCGCAGACTTTTGTAGTCGCCCCTCTCTTTCTTGTACGCGCTGAAATACCAGAAACACGTAAGATATTTACAGAGATATGTACGGACGTATTTATACTACGGATGAATCAGAGAAAGATTAAAGTAAACACAAATAAATGCTCGCATGTGACATATACATTAAAGAAGTGAAACACACACAATGTTTGTACAACGCAGTAATACTGAAAGTCACAAATATTCGATGTCTCCGATTCGATATCTGGACTCTAACAACAAGATCAGCCGGAAGCAACACATCGAAATAAAAACTGATCAAATCGAATTGATATCAAGAGTATCGAGAGCTAGTTCTTTGTATCAAGTCAACAAATAAATGATCGTTCACTTTGAGAAGACGTACAGGAAAGGAGGAGAGAAAAGAAGAGTCAATTGGCATTTACCTATAGAATTCATCCTCCAGAATGTCATATTTCTTGGCAAGGGTCCTGAAAGCTTTTATAGTCTCGATTGGCAAGTAAGCGTGGTTCTCCCTGCTGCGATTGTTCTCCTTATAGTCAGTTAGCCAATCCTCGAACACTTTCAGCGCCTCGCGAAGATTGGCCAGCTTCTCCTCGTCCCTGGTGATTTGCAGCGTTCTTTTCGCGCGGGCCACGAAACTAGCGATCACGTGGTACTGATAACTGATATCTCGACCGTCCAGAGCCTTCAGCGTGTCCAGGGCCTTCTGCTTGTCTTTAAAACCCATCGCCGACTCTTCCGGCTCCGAGGATTTGCTTCGTCCCATCGCTGAAAATCCCACTCGTTCATCGTCCTGCGCGTATAATCGAGCAAGATCCCGTGCAACGCGTCGCAGACACGCGAGACACGGCGCAAATTCGTACGATCGATTAGAAGAGAATAACCAATCGCTAGAAACGGCGAACAGAGGCGGAGAGACACTCGACGAACGTGTGACGCCAGCATGTCACTTTTATCGTTGACGTTACATTGACTTGTGGAAGGATCAATACAAACTGGACAATTGACTAAACTGGACATCATACTACGATTTGAACGTCGATTTAAATGTAAATATCGAAACAAATCAGACGAGATATCATCGAGTCGCTCAATAAGAAAAAAAAAAAAAAAAAGAAGAAAGGAACAACTCAGATAAGACTGTGAAAGAACACTTACCGAAATTTTGTTAGCGAGATCAATCCCTTTCGGTGTATATACCCAATTTAATCAGATCACCGCAGATCACTGTTTTTAACAGAAGCGTAGCACGTAGAAGTTTCAAGAAACTGAGCAGACTTTTCGATGGAAGTGGCGTTCAGACTGCGCGACTGACAGTGGCAAACAGATTTACCGGGACCCGGCTTCGGTCGGCAATGTTCACCAACGACACATCTGCCCGCGGATGGGAAAAGGATGGGCGATTCGCGAGTCAGCGGAAACGAGAGGGTTTGATATAAACATATCTGCTGTGTGTCACATCCCGAAATACGCAGCCGACCTCAGTCCGTGGTCTCGGGCTTACGTCACTAACTGCTAATACCGCTGGTGAAATGAAGAATCGACATGGATCGACTGCGTGCACGATCGCGTACGGTTTGCGCGTGTCTAGGTCAAGCTCGTATAATCGGTTATGTTAATCAATAACGCGACGCGACGTATCGAACGTTCCGCCGGTGTTTTGCTTTCAGTTTCAGAGAAAGAGAAGCGGCGGCTTCTTCGATTTCTCGCGCATCTCGCCCGATGACACCGGAAGAATAAACTTGGTTATGACGTTGTCCAGAAACCTTGAACGTTGAGGCTATGCGTGTATGTATGTGTGTGTGCGCGTGTGTGTTTCGATAAATTTATTTGATATTTACAGAAGTTACAGTATTCCTGGCGAACTACTCGGACACGAGCATGTAACAACGATCACAAGCGACTGGATCTCCCGGGCTACAAGGTTTTTAGTCGATCATTCCAACTTCACTATTTACAAGATTCGTGGTACACGCGATTCGAGCCTGAATTCTCAAGCATCCAATTGTGAGAATATTTCGAGGAATCGATTTCTATTATCCCTTCGATTCCTACTTAAATTAGCATAAAATATAATAAAATATTGCTACTAATTCATTCGAGATACCGAGCGATATCCTGACTAATTTTTGTCTTAAATTAAGACAACGCACGACCATGGACGAATACCGATTAACGTTCGAATCGCGTGTTCCATTTAACGCCTGTACACGTTACGCTTAGCCGTCTATACAATCGCATAAACGTGCACGGAGTACGGGGTAGAGATCTACGACTAGAGATTCCCTCGCGAGAATCGATCCTCTCGGCGAATACGATTTTCCATCCTGCGGTAAAGCTGAGAGAGATTCAGCAGACACAGCTGCCTACGCCGAGACAGGCGTACGAAGTTTGCTCGATCTTCGAGCTGGTGGTGGTAGCGTCTAGCAAGGTTGGCTGCGAGAGCGTCGGTGCAGCCGGTAATTGCGTTCTCTGTACGCCGTCGTATAAAATCGATGACGCTTCTCGTTCTCTGCTGATACCCTCCGTTTCCTGCGTGTATGGAATTCTCGGTAGTTCCTGGCTTCTGGATTCGGTCGGGCCGTCGTGAGCCGATAAGCGGCCGTAGTTCAGGAAGGTTTCTGTGTAGCTCGAAGGTGGATGGTGGTGACTTCCGTTGTACTCGTGCGTGTAATGAGGGTGGTATCTGTTCGACGGTGTCTTGAAGCCGTCGTTACCGCCGAGATACTGGTGCAGGTGATGCAAACTGGATGGTCCGTACACTATTGTTTATAAATCGAATTTTAGAGACGGTCATATAATCTCTTTGGAATTTTGGCGGACATGGTAAATTTCGGTAGAGATTCCTTTCCTTTCTACCAAAACGGGTAGATGACATTTTATAAATATATCAATCGCTAGATTACACAATATACTGTATAAAATTTTATAATGTAATAACGTGTCTATGGCAGATCTTTAGGTAAATAGTTTAAAAATTTTAATAGGATTGTTTCGTATGAAATAAAATAATCTAGCTTTATTATTTCATTAATCATTTAGTGTCTTGAGCTATCTGATTCTAATAATACTTAAAAGAAAAATATTTACAATGTCCATTTTTTTCTTTTTTTATCGAGGAATTTTTAAGTATTTCTAGATTGAAATTATTACGTATTTTTTAAGAATTTCAACGCTGATATTTATTTGAATAGAGTTCTCGATTTACTGGAGTTTGAAGCAAACGTTATATAACTAGCCGAAACTATTTGCGAATAATTTGCGAATGACTCGCAAACTATTCGCGAACAGAAGCAATATTATTCATAGTATGCCAGAGTTGCTCGCAAATAATAGATGTGAAACACTGACCTGCTGCTGTATTCGAATACATGGCGAGAACTGCATCACCGTAGCCACTGCTGGGATGTTTCGCTAATTCGGGAACATCGTTCGAAGACGATATCTTTCCAGATATCGATTGACTTCGAACGCTGTTCTGCACTTCGCTAGCAAGGCCGGACGATCCTGCAGAACCGTACGCCATGTTGAAAAGTGCTTCCGGGTCACACACGAACTTGTATACGTATCTTTCTCCCGCCACCTTCTGCATTATCCCTTTCTCGTAATAGTACCTCAACGATCTGCTTAATTTATCGTAATTCATTGCTGGTCGATTCTTCTGTACTCCCCATCTTCGAGCCACCTACGGTAGGTAGAAAATTAAAAAAATAACAATGTATTCTCTAAATATTTCAACGAGTATATGGAGTATACTCGCCTAAATCGAGCATCTAAGTTATTTCTGCTGCTTTGTATTGGTTAATATCGATATTAGCTTTTTAATATTATTAACGTTATATTATATGCATTTTAATGTTATTTTAACATTATATTATATTTTATATAATTTATTATATATAATATTATTTTTATTTTTATAATTTTAATATATATTAATTATAAAATTTTATAATTTTATAATTTTAATATATACCAATTGTAAAATTTTGTAATTTTATAATTTTAATATATACCAATTTTATAATTTTATAATTTTATAATTTTAATATATACCAATTATAAAATTTTATAATTTTATAATTTTAATATATTTATCAATTATAAAATTTTATAATTTTATAATTTTATAATTTTAATATATACCAATTATAAAATTTTATAATTTTTATATATCAATTACAAAATTTTATAATTTTATAATTTTAATATATATCAATTATAAAATTTTGTAGTTTTATAATTTTAATATATATAATACTATTTTTAATATATATAATTTGACGTAAGATATTAATTATTTAATCGTAATCAAGACATAGATTTTCGTGCACTGCAGAGATTTTTATTTCTTCAGCGAATTTACCTCTTCCGGTTCGATTAGTTTGAATTCCATTCCACGGCCGGTCCACGCAATGCAAGGCGCGTTCGCAGGATCGTCCAACAAGGTGACTAGAAACTGCCATAACTGAAGAGACCCTCGACGTTGCTGTTGATAACCGACAGACATTTCACTCCATGGTGACACGCCTGTCGTCGATGATGGCCTCTTGCTGGTATATTCCGCGTTCCACGAACTAGGAGATCCTTTCTTCTGGTAACAATTACTCTGCCTTTCCCACGACGGATTTCTCGCGTCTAGTTGAACCCCTAACTCGGTCCACGTGGGAGTCACGCTTCTCTTACCATATACTTCCGAACTCCAGTTCTCTTGCCGCGGGAAGAAAGCTTCACCCGAGGCTGAAACCGCCGATTGCCATTGAGACGCTGCGGAGGAAGTGCTGGCTGGCCGATTAGGCGATGGGGAGCCTCTAGCGTTTCTCGTCCCGTTCCCGTATTGCTGCTGTTGCTGGTAAACTATGCTATTGCCTGCGTGAATTTGAATTCATCGAATTAACATTGATGCGACAGTTTTGTTTCAAGTTCAATCTCGCCTTGACGAGTAGAGAAGATTTTACGAAAAACGTACGTTTCGCCGCGAGTTTGTTTCATGATATACATAGAAATTTGAAAGTACGAGTATTTTTTTTTCTTGAGAATTACAATGCTGAAGTAATCGAGAATCTATGTACACAGATTCGTATGAATTTCGATTTCATCCTACTACAAAAATAATAAAAGATAGTGGCTCTTTATATATGTTCGAAGACTTTTCTCGTACGTACGAAATCTCGATCGTTAATTACAATTAAATCAGTTTCCAATTGTTGAACCAGAGATGCTAACTAAATGTTGTTGATTGTTCAAGATTGCTCGATATATATTTCTTATATTTTCCAGAAATGCAAAATCTCCAGAGATCCGCGGACCGCGATTAAAAAGAGCTGCTAATCCACCAGTGTAAGGTGGAAGAGGAGGCAAATGGTTAAGGACGACGCGAGCGAGAGAAGATGCTCGGAAGCAGCGGTGAGAAAGAACGAAACGCCAAGCGACCGACGTATTAGCGATTGCACTCACGCGCGGTTGCCGGTGAAGTGCTCGTCACACAAATATCGGCAGGAAATTGGTTGATATTCAAAGCCCACGGGGTTGCCTGGGATGGCGGAGCTCGCGGATAGCGGCACCGCCTGAAATACCGCGTAGAGCTCGCGCGATATGTATATTAATCGGGTGCTCTCCTCACAGGGTGAGCCCACCACCGCCGGCATCCCACCGATGCCGTGGTCCCTCGAGCCGAAAAAGCTATTCTCGAACCGTAATCCGGTTACGTTCCAAGTCGTGTACGGGGAATATTGAAAAATTGAGAACCCTCCTCCCGATACCGAGCCGGAATGCGACGCCGCCAGCCCCGATGCAACTACAGTCTATCTTCCTTTTTTCCCTTTTACGCCCGTCGATTGAAAAGTCTCTGACTCTGTTCGTAGAATTCGACGCTTCGAGGTCCGGCCGTGCGGGGTGAAAACTCGCGGTTTGAAAATCCAAGGTGTAACGCAGCGTGTGTATCTCGGCGATATTAATCTCGGTGAACAAGGTGAAATGAAGAGGAGGAAGGGCCGGGGGAAAGTTAATCGTGTCGGCAAGTTAGCTTTAGCTCGCTGGCTGGCTGGCTGGCAAACGTCGGTCGGATCCCGATCCTCGATGTAGACGAGACAGACAGGAATCGCAGGGGGAAAGAGGGTTGAAAGCTGCGGGCCAATCTGGCACTCTCTCTCTAGAGAAGAGGGGCGAACGGGCTCGACCTCAACGTGCAAGCGGGGCCAGAGGCTTTGCGGGTAGTTTTAGATTAAAATTAATCGCGAGCTGATGAAACCGGTGGCGATGTAGCAAGCAGGAAAAGGGTTGAAGCCGGGACTGGTCAGGGGCGGTGCGCCAGAAGGGTTGCACGGAAAAGAGGACGGCCTCCACTCGTCCACTCTCAGACGAGCAGCTTCGCTTCTTTCCATCTCTTTCTCTCCTTCGCTCTGATCTATTCTCTCTCTCTCTATCTATCTATCTATCTATCTGTCTCTCTCTGTGTTCCTCTGTCCCGCTTCCACCCTTCCGTTCATCATCCCCTCTTCGTCTCATTTTCTCCTCTACCCTTGTCTTTATCCTACCGTCTCTGTCTCCCTGATCCCCGAATTCCGGAGTAGAGGCCGGTTAATAATGCAAGGTCCATTTTCCATCCACCTGACGCGCCGAAATGCCCTTCTTCGCTTTCTGTCCATTCAGAGAAGGCACTCGTTTTCAACGAGATCGGATCGATCTGCGACGTACAGTACCGTATTCGCGATACCTGCGTATCGTGCGTACGTTCAACTTTGTTCAAGTTGTCGAACAACAGGATTAGGGCTGAAGCTTGGACCGAGACCGTAATCCTCACGATCCTCCGTGCTGGTATTAATTAGCGAGTTGGTAACCAATCTGCTTCACCCATTAACAGGTTATTACTATTCCACCCGCTACATTGGTCAACGAGACTGGTCGATTTAGTGGACTAGGGAGACAGAAACGTTTAAACATCGCTCCCTTGGACCGTGTTCATCGCGTCAAGCGACAATCTTCAAAATTCGACGTATTTTCGATCGTTTGAATTGAGCTTCGAACGAAACGAAGAAGGCAACGCCTGTCAAATGAATTTCACCGCAGTTCGAAATACTATATATATACGTTCAATTGTATTCGAAAGAAAAAAAAATTCTTTCTTCGAAAGAATTGAATTCGATAAAAAGGAACGGTTCGTTGGGAGCCGATCGAAGCCGTATCTACGTGTCAGGGTGTATCAATAGCGATAGGTATGATCCTATTATTAATCTAAACTGCGTCTAAATAATTGAAACGGCTTAATGGGAGGGAGAATTACGCGAGGAGAAGTCGAAGCATAATTCCCGGGTGACTTGGAAGTAAATGGGTATACGCGCGCGGTGTCGGGCAGCCGAGTATAGCAACCGAGTTCCTGAAGGATTCGTTTGGTGTACGTGCGTGAATAAAGGAAGACTAATCGGTCTGATTACAAAGCATGAGCTTGCAAACCCTTCGTCGGCGCAGCCTTTTACGTTACACGTGGTTCGCTCCACCTCGAACACTATTATCTAATGGTCTGCGATTCAACGGGTGTAATCGTTCCGAGGGATTCCGATTTTTTTTTTTTTTTTATCAGGACGCGATCGTCGAACGGGAGTATTTCTCCCGTCGTTGTGTATCTGGAATCTCAGTCGTACCCGCGATCCACGGGAGAAAGCTTTCGCGACTTGCAACCTCCCACGGGAGCGAATTCCATGCTCTTTCCTTCGTTTAGCAGCTTTCGCTGGATTCTACGAAGCGCTCTTCGTCGTAGCTTTCGAGTTGAAAGCATTCTTCAATTATTCACTTACGTGTACTTAGTCACGCGTGAGCGAGTCCACTGTGCCAGCGACGAACCTCGCCCGTCATTATCAAGGAATCTCGCATTAAAACGTCGCTGAAAATTTATTAGCCGTGCTCTCCGATCCCACCGGGCGTCGCTTGACCGAAAGATCGTTCTTTCAGTTCGAGAACGAATTTGAAAATTCGTTTGCCATCCACGAGTCTACGAGCTTCTTTTTGAAAAATTATTCGAAATTTTGAACAGCATCTTGTCTATGTTTTTCAAAGGAAGTCTATATTTTTGCAGAGGATATAAATTAAAATTCCAGATTTTCGTCATTATCTCACTGACTAGAAGAACTCTGTTCTATCGAGGAACTACTTAATAATGCAAGTAAGAACAATAACTGACAGAAATTCATAATAAAAACTCTTGTGGACCCAACGGAATTCGCTGGCGCGTCAAAATTTTACTAGACGGGTAAAGAAAGAAAAAAGAAAACAATTCTCGATGGTGTTCTCGAGGGAGACCATAACGGCAATTAAGAGAAAAATAAAGCACAGGACGATGAATTTCGGGACACCAAAGCGATCTAAAAACAGAGACCGGAAGAGTAACTCGAGCTAGAGCTCGATTAATGGATGGAACACCGAGTACTTCCCCCCCCCCCCCCTTTCCCGGTGCTCCAGTTATTTATGGGATCTATAGGGTAGCGAAGCGCCACGTGGATCTATTGTCAAGAGATTTGTCATGGTGCACGTTCGAGAGGAGGGTATCATCGGGTTTGGAAATCTCCGTCGTCCCAACAGCACTTCAGAGTGAGCCAAGAACTTTATCTGTCGAATTGTGTACAGTTCTATTGATTCTATTTGTTCAGCAAATCATTGATTTGATTTCTTACTGTTTCGAGTGTCCTGAGCGGTTGACGTGGGGATATTCGTCACGGGAATCGGCTCCCCGTATCCTCTGTCCGCTGGTTCCTCCTTCACCGCCACGTTCTTCGTTTCGGTTGTCCGCGAGTTCATTTTATTGTTCCTGCGCAAACACAAGCACGAACGTGTAACCAGATCATCCGCTTCTTGAAGCGAATGTAAATTTTCTAAATTTTGCAATTATATCTGCGGATATTTAGACACAATTAGACTAAAGAATCTACTATTTCAAATGCAATTGACGCGGTTCTTAAATTGGATAGGAATTTTTTCCAGTTCGTTGCAATTGAACGGCGGACGTTTGTACAAATTTGTACGAGCCGTGAAGAGAATTTAAAAAACGTGTTCCAGATAGAAAATTGATGTACACATTAAATATTATATTTCATTTTGTTTCTACGGCTTTTCACATGCACACACTGTCGACCATCGTTATCAGAATATTCCCCGTGTTTCAATAAAATGTGATATCTCGCATTTTCAATGAAATGTGACAAAACAAACTAAATGCTTTCGTTATGTTCGAAGATGCGCGTGATTTCAATTTCTTATGGATCTATAGTTTGACGAATGTAAATATGTCTCAATATTTATGCTATGCTTGCGCATTACTCTGCGTTCTCCGTTGTCTATATAGAATTTTCAGTGTTAAATATATATTTGTTCTCTTTACCCGAAGCAATTACTACGATTCTCTGGATCAAGATCGAGGAACGTGCCACCTTGCGGATGTGGATGGCTCACTGGCGTCTGATACTGCGAGTAATTAGTATCACTGATTCTCCTGCAATTCGTCGATTCTTGTTTGACACTGGCATCTGTAAAAAAAGCGGACATCCTCTTCTAATAAGCAACAATACAAAAGGTACGACTATACGTCTGCATCGCTAATTAAAACTTGAGTAACGTTAAAATTAATCGATAATTAACATCATCGATTATTCTTTTGCAATTCGCAAACTGTTGTTTGACACTCTGACATCTGTGAACAACGGATATACATATTTTCTAATTTTTAAAATACAAAAAATATGGCTGTACCTGCACCACTTTTAAACTAACAATTAGTATCGTTGCTTCTTTTGCAATTCACGGATTCACGTGTCCTCTGAATATTTTGAATTTACAAAAAAAAAAAGAAAAAAAAAGTAACATTTTGACAATCTAAGATTAATTAACTAACATTGAATTATCATATAATTGATATAATATCAATATAGTTGACGTTAAATTATCTAACGTAACTGGATTGGCCGACGTTAAATTTTTTCCTGAACCAAATTGCCAAAAATGCCAAACTGACTGAACGCGTTGACTAGAAGCATCAAGGGTGAATGGATATTCGGACGCGTTTGGAGAACGATAGCACGCGGATGTACAGACGAACGGTCAATGATTTTAACGATCGAACGTGGATGGTTTCTTGGGACTAAGATGAACAGGGCGAGGACGTAAGGGCGCGTGTCGTTGCGGAAGCAAAGGCGCATCGTTGCAGCGGCACGTGGGGGGATCGGTTCGCTTCCTAATGGGGCCGTCGACGATTTTGCGCGGCGGAGGGTGCGCCCTCGATAAATCAAACAGGCTCTGGCCGTGGGAAGCATAAGTCAGAGGCCTCCGGCAATCATTGTATTTGCAAACATCGGAAGTTTACTCGCTACGGGAGAACCGCCGACTCGACCGGTTAGAAAGAAATCGTACGGTTTCACGTGTAACTTATGAACATCTCGTCTCGCGACGGAAAACAATGTTTCCACAGAGAGAGAGATAGAGAGAGAGAGAGAGAGAGAGAGAGCTGGATAATAGTACGTCGTAGTAAATCAAAGGCTACACGAGAGAAATATAAATCTGTTAATTTTGATGTTACTGGCGGAAAAAGAAAAAAAGAGAAAAAAATCGGAAATACGTTCGACTGTGTTTCTCACCCGTGGTCTTCTAATTTCTTTCACACTTTTTCAGTTAATCTTTCTCAAATAATTTCCGACAGCGAGTCAGAGAAATATTCGTATAATATTCTTTTTAATTGTCCTTGTTTCGAAACTGGTGTTGTAAAAAAAAAAAAAAAAAAAAAAAAAAAAAAAAGAAAAGATACGAGAGTCGTTCGAAGTTGGCAATTTGCATGAGTGTGACAGGAGCGTAGAAAAAATTTTTTCGCTTAATCACATGCGAAACTTCGTCTCCTGTGTCGGGGTGAATATTGACCGAAAAAAGGAGAAAGATACAGGGAAAATATACCGGGCGTAACAACATCCGGTAAACAATGCCTCGAATAAAAGTTTATTGGCAAATCTGAGCCGAGCGATCAGCCTGTTTACCTCGAACGGGGTTCTCTCTGATTGTTTGCATACGTATTACGTGCGCAAACGAACTGGCTGGCGATCTCGTCAGTTGCGAGTCGAGCAGCCGATGAAATTAACAGGTGAAGGGTAAATTTGGCGGTATGGCGTCGCGAGACGGCCAGATTACAGTCGTGCAACGCTCAATAATATACGAATTACGATGGAAAATCGAATGTCGAGCCGGCAAAGTGTTATCGGGGAGCACGCGACTGCCAGCGAACGATGCAGCAACTGTGCGAAATTTTCTTCGTCGAGTTAACACACGCACGAGGATACGAGGAACACGTGTACGCGCGCAAGCATATAGACATTATCCGCCATTCCCTCTGGCCGTTTGCTCCTCTATTCGACGCGTATCGAAATATTTGCCAGATTTTCCAGCACGCACGGATAGAGAGCCGCGAAATTTTCTTCAGAACTTTCGCGATCACGTTAACGCAATCGATTACACTCGTTTGTTCGGAGAGTTTGCAGCGAGATTCAAGAGATATTTCCAAGTAATATATATTTTTATAAAATTGGAGATTTTTGGAGCTACTATTCTTATTGCTGTTACTTAACTTTACGATTGATTGAAATTTGTGGTTTGCAATGAATGATTTGTAACTGTGTTCTCTCAGTATATTCAGTTTTGTGTGATGGAAGAGATTTCGCGGAGATGGAAATAACAATTGTATGAGAGAAGTAAGAGTACGAGCAGCAGGCAAAAGAACACAAGTTCGAGTCTCTAAATAATAAATAAATATAATACAATACAATATAAATATAATAAAGATAATAAAATTGGTCATGATTCTAGTGATAAATTGTGTTCTATTGATGAATCAGACCGATACAATTATGGTAGGACTTCACAATTTGAAATATATAATAAAATAGATCGACAGTAGTGAAGCAGAAGTTTTCCCGAACAAGCAGCAGGATGAGGAAGAAACTCGTTTCTTCGTACGATATTAAAGCGACTTTGATAAACGGCGATTGAGTAGAGCAGACACTAATCAGGCAAAGGTTCGAGAAAGGGGAGAAAAAAAAAAAAAAGCCTTTAAGACTTAATATAAAGTGCTTCCTCGTGTAATGCGATATCGATAATCAACGGGAGTCTTCTGTTGATTCTCTCTTGCCGCTTTAAAAACACCAGCCTCGGGCGATTTATCGGCTTTTTTAATATCCCCGTCAATATTGCCCCTTCGAAAAAATTTAATTGTCAACAAACAGAGGAGGGATGGTTCTCAATACGATTTCTAAGACGTTCTGCAATAATTAGACTGCGGATTTTCGTGCATTTACGGTGGCTCGCGTTGGTTTTATAAGATGATAAGTTTCGCTCGCGACCATTAAACCTCCCATTGGTTTGTAAATTTTACCAACATTCGCGAACTGTTGCTACAAATCGGTGAAAACTTGTTCCATTTTTTATTACAAAACCTTCGTCTTCTATTATAACTTTATTATCTCTTTGTTATATTATTATTATAGTGAACATTTCATACATTTTTGCACGTCACACTACCGCCCGTATCCAGCGAGCAAAATATTTCGAAATTCATTATAATGAAAAGATGAAACAAGATTGTAACAAAAAAAGTGAAACAAGTTTCTTCAGTCACGTTCACGTTAATTTCAACCTGCATGACAATCCGCGAACATTATCTTGGCGATAACGTTTTTGAACACAAGATGACAGAAATTTGTATAGTAAACGCGAGATCGTCAAATTATTCGCGGTTTCCTATTCGCGTAAACTGTGTAAAGATTCTTTCCAAATTGGCAGTTAAATTGCATATGCGATAAATTTCCGCGCAACTTCCGCTTCCATCGAGATTGGCTTCCTTCGTGCTACGTGCTTCGCTAGCTGCTTGACGCGATCGGAACGTGGTGTGTAATTAGGTGAGCCTCGGGAAATCGCGAATTGCTCCGAACTGATCGCGCACGTTAGAGAAATAAATTTCAATCGCACTAACTTGACATCCGATGAAATTCCGGCACGTACTGCTCGTTGTCTTCCGTTTCGCAGCTGCTGCCTGCAACACAGTAATTTGCAAATTTATCTTTGAAGAAAACAAAGAAAGAAACAAAAAAACAATCGTTCACGAAAAGAAAATCGAAAGAAAATCGCAAATGAAACAGTGCTGTTAATATTAAGCTGTATAATTTCATTGTTCCAAATCGCTAAGAATTCGTAGAAATGTGGTAGTTTTCTGGATTCGCAAGTTTCTTTTCTTTTTTTTTTTTTTGAAATTTATTTATCAAGAAATTGACTAAGAGAGTAACAAAGGAAGCCTTGAAACTTTCACGTTCTTGTTCCCAAATTTAAAACAAAAATCAGTCAGAGAAACATCACGTTCCTTGAAATATTCTGAGGAGGTGCAAAATCTATACGACTCAATATTAGAGAAAGTTAATTATTATTAATTATTGGTTCTGTTAATTATTATTAATAAAAGAGAATGAAGGTTAAATAACGGTTCGTTAGGATCGTCTTAGCGGTAAAGCTACTCGTTCCACTGGCCTTGGCAGAAGGTCCCCTCGTTATCGCGATTATTACATTGCATCCACCACCGTTAGTTACATTACAGTTTGTCAAAGTAATCAAAATTAATGTTCCGGATAGTCAGGCCACTGTGTCTAATCATCTTCGGAGGAAGATTTACGAACGGTAAATGAATCGTGTTGCCCCGTTCGTTTTGCAAGGAACAATGTCAATAAGAATTTTACTGTGCTTCTAGGTTTCGAAGAACCAACTCGGTGCTGTTCCACTGAAAGGAAAGTAGAACGGAAGCCGAGCGCTTTAAAGCGTCACACCGGGCATTGCTTTTATAATTCAATCAAGTTAATGGAACCTGCCGCAGCGATCTCGCTGTGAAAGGGGAACGGTATAATAATAATAATTATTATTATTATTTTGATATTTTTGTTGAATGAATTTGTTGTGAATAGATTCTACGATACGATACGATACGTGCAAGAAAAAAAAAAAGCAAAAATTAAATCGCCCGAACAGGGACTCGAACCCTGGACCCTCAGATTAAAAGTCTGATGCTCTACCGACTGAGCTATCCAGGCATCTGATAGCTTCTGTCTTAATATTCCTGGAAACTGCCATTTTTCTACGTCGCGAACTTTGCTTCTTTTTTTTTTAGACTCGATACAAACTACTTGGAACGAAATCCACTCACCATCTTGAAGCCACGGCTCTTGTCTATATTCCGGTGTGGAGTATATTTCATTTTCTGAAAAAAAAAAGTTTCACATCGGCTTTCAAACGATTGTTTTTTTCTTCTGCAAAATGTTGTAAAGATTTATCAAAGATCAGAAATATGTTGCACAATATTTTATAAATTACGCAGGCGGATCTGCTGTTTATTTATGCTGTTTCAAAAGTGGCGATTTAATCGACAAGGAAAGGAAAGGAAAGCTGTCGAATATTGTTGAAACATTAGCTTTCTTATTCCTTTGCCTTTAATTTCTGAGTGAAGCAAGGGATTAGTTGGTAATATAATGATTAATGGTTACTCGGGAATAATTATCTCACCGTGAAATTAACGCCTCGCACAGTCTACTATATTACTTGGTCAAATTCAATGAATATCCATTATCGTTCCAAGTAATAAGAGCATTTCAGATGATAATTATTGCCGAACGATTTTATATTGCCCGGAACAATTAAAGAATTCCAAAAGGCGATGCAAATAACATTTGGAAAAATTGCAAAATAGAATAAAATTGTCAGTCAGTTCTTGACGAGTTGATTCGTGCAATAAAATTGTTCGTAACATCCTTATTTCAAGACGATGGAAATCTAACGTGTGAAATACGATTTCTGAGTAATTATGTTATTACAAGACACGACGTCTGAGCTGTAACAAGATTCAACGAAAGACTGGGGCCGTAAGATGGAACAAAGACTGAACGTCGGGGTGAGGGGGGGGGGGGGGGGGATGAATCAGTGGCAAAAACAACCCCTTTCAATGCAGGCAATGTACATAAGAATGCGACAGAAATGTATGCTACGTGGGGTCGGTTTAATGGGCCTCTAGGATTCGCCACGGGTAGCCACTTGTCAATAACTTTGTTTTGTTCATAGCCACAATCTCGTCTGACGAATCGAATTTACTCGGCTGCATAGCTCGTGGATAATAACGCGTTTTTCATCGCGAGTTGTTCGGATTTCCTCCCGGATCGAAGACTTGAGATTGAATCTGTTTCCAGATGAAAGACATTTTATAGAACACTATAATCCCGTTCTTTCTTAATTTGACAAATTAATTCCAACGATCGATCATCAGCTTTGACGTACATAGATAATCCTCGTATGAACAATTAATCTTAATAAATTTCTAATTAATTTATTATTATTATGTATTTAACGCATAATCAATTTTTGTTATTATGTATTATGTACAATTAATATTATTATCATTATTATGCGGAACAACGTGTGACGTGAATTATAAATGGTTGGACTTGTGCTTCCTTATACACTTGATCTCTCCAATGTTGAAGCTGATAGTAATTACTTCGAAACTTTCGAACGGGGATAAAATTTCTTTCCTTCTGTAATTCTTCGTAGCAAGTTTCTCAAATCACTCTACACTGTCGCCAGTGCGAAATCACTGTCGCAATCCCGCTTACGTTTCTCACGAGAAGAGGCAGAACCAGATGGAGCAGCCTCGAAGACGAGAGGAAAGAGCCAGAAGGTTCGTTCTTTCGCGTCGACGCGAAACGTTTCAATATTTCTTCGCGACGAGTCGTCGCCGAAAAGTGGATGGAGAGGGGTGGTAGGGCGTAACGTGATTACGATAGAGAAATTGCAGCATTATAGGCAGTGATTGAGTTAGGTGGAGGCGGACCATCCTGGCTGGTGGTTCACACCACGGCATGCCAATGTTAGATATAAAGTGTCAATCACTGCGCCCAGACGCCGCTAGGGTGGCTACGAATCCTGTGGGGCCACGACCGGCATCCACTACCCCATGGGGCTCTTTGCGGCGATAACACGTTGCTTATTGAATTCGTCCTGAGGCTTCTCGTCGTCGGTGTCGCGTTTCTGGGTCAAGGCTAAGTAAAAGCTGCCGATACCGTAGAGACTAATTGACCGATGGTCCAAATCCTCATGTTCCTCGTCATGCTCTTCGCGGTCGAACAAATTGACGACGTTGCTCGTGTTTCTGTCAATCTTAAATCTTAATTGACACTTTCGCGGCTACGTAGAAGTGTTTCTTTAGAAATTTCTTCTGGCACGGTGAGGTGACTTCTACTGTAAAGTAATTCGTATAGAGAGTACGAAAATTCTCAGAAAACAAAACTTGATTGCTCTGGGGATTTTTTTGTGAAATCTAAAAAATATGAAACTGCAAAAGTTTGAAAAGTTTCGACTCAAGCTCCATTCCTCTGGTTGAATTTACAAATATATCGGACAACGTGGAAACAAGCAACGATTGATTTATTAGAGTTTCTTAGTTAATCGATCCGAAATTGTTCGAAAGCACGCCGACAGAGCATAGAAATCTACGTCAGGACTCTTGCGATACGCTTTGCCGTTTGGCGCGGCCTTAAAACGTAATTGCACTGTAGAAAATAATATCATCCTCGATGCGACTATATAAAGATATTGACTTGACTGCCTGTCGGTGACAGGCTCTCTTCAGGGGGTGGGTTCCCCCTTTGCCCCGTTGTACACAGTTCGCGTACATCCTGCACGTGCTTCGGGCCGTGCTACGCCTTCTTGCCTACGTGGATTTTCTTCGTGTACGTGTACGTGTTTACACGAAGACGCAATCGAGACTCCATGTCACGGCGGAGACTCGGTGTTCCCGAGCAACGTCGTATCAAAGAGCTTCAAAATCGTCGGCCGGGGGATGGTGACCCGAATGGACCGCCCTCGAGTTTCTCGTTTCTCGATTCTCGTTCACGAAAAAGTCTCATTGAGACGCTCGACAACTCGAAACAGATCGAAATATTGATCGACCGTGATTCGTCCTGGCGTTTAGGCTTCTCCGTTTCGTACGTTTCAACACAGAGGAAAAAGAAAAAAAAAAAAAAAGAAAGAAATCGTAAAATCGTTCGTAAAATGTGGAAAATTGCAATAATTAATTTGAAACATTTTGGGAGATATACAGTATATCGTAAGTATTAGAATCGTTTGCTCGTTATATTTGTTGAAGAACTCTAACAAAGCTTACACGATGTTACGACATGTGCAGCTGCGGTTAGATCATCAATCGGTGGATACTACTTAATGAAATTCATGTTTCACTTACCAGGATGCAGCTTCTCCTCGGTGCTCGTTTGTGTCACGGGGTAGTTAGTGGAACAATATCCTGTGGCGACTGTTTGAAGTGGCTCGTTTAGCCTGTTGAATTCTTCGTTCGGCTGTAAACGTTAAATATCTACGTTAAAATTGTACATTGTTTGTAACAGTAGACATTACATTTCTTAAAACACGTTACAAAATTTCTTTGTTCTCTATAAAATTTTGATCCTTTCCCCGTTTCTCGACTAAAGTCTGAGATTGTTAATTTATCATTTATTCTCTTTACACTCATGCTTATAGTCTTCTGTTCGATAGGCATTCTGATATTTCTGGTGTGCGTATGAGCGATTTGAAAGATATTTATTACGATGTCAAGATGTTGATTTTCAACAGTTATAACAATATTTCTCTTTGAACCAAAGTCAATTTTAGTTAGTTATTTCTAACCTTTCAATCTAACAGATTCTTTTCACTTCTGAGCATGTGGAAATGAGATTTCTCGTACGACCTTCGGATGAAATATGTACTTGGCATCAATCGAATATTTAATATCTCAATACCTCGTCGTTGAAATCCAGCATTTTACGTTTTAATTTCACCGGTGTGAACGAGCGAAGAGACTTCTTCGTTTGCAGGCATTCGAGTCAGCCAAGGAGGGAAAAAGACGAAGACAATTGACGCAGAGTTGATATAAAATCGTAGGGAAAGAGGCGATTTGGAACAAAAAGGAATAGCGAGGGGCAGGATTTTAAGTAAAGTAGTAAAGCAGGTACATTGAGAAAGAAGAAGAGGAAGAAGAAGAAGAAGAAGAAGAAGAGAGAGAGAGAGAGAGACAGAGAAAGATAGAGAAAGAGAGACGTGCGAGAGAGGAGGCAAGGAGGACATCCGGTGAACGATTGGATGGTTTCCTCCTTGCGGAGCAATCTAGTGGTAAAGCCGGTTACCGGTTTTGGAAATTCCAATAACGCCGTGTCGCCGTCTGCTTTTCCTTTATGAAGTTTCACTGCGGCCTCTCAGCCGATCGCTTACACTTTAAAATCGAAAAAAACAATGCATACACTTCGTTTCAGATCAAGAAACCTTCACGCTTGCTCGATGTTGGATTTTGTTGTCAAATAAGCGAAAACAATTTTCGATGATTTGGAAACAGTTTTTTCGGCGTAAAATTGAAATGAGAAGTCACGCAATCAATGACGATTCTTTCGCATTTCATTTAAAATCTAGAATTGAAGAATGCAACAGGATGCAAAACGTCTATCTCCTTATGGTACATTTTCGTTGTTCTTGGAATTACTTTTAACAACTATGTTCGCGTTACTGATGATAAAAACACAAGTTTTCGACGATAATCGTGTAATAAAATAATCGCTTTATCGCTAAATTATTCGTCGTCTTTCTTTTGTAATTAATTTGACAGGATATTATCGTTTATAGAGACGTAATCAACTTCCTCTTTCAGGGTTAGTCTTACATTGCCCAGTCGCTTGAATTTTCCTCTGATTGCAATTAACAGTCATTTATAATTAGTCGCCGTGATGGTTCAGCACTCGTAATCCACAAGCTGTGCCCTCTAATATAAATTTTAATTACATTCTCCGATATTACGTTCAATCTTTAATCCCGCCAAACCGATATCAAACCGGTATTTAGCGGCACGACAGCGTTAAATAAGAAATAAAGAATGTATAGCGCGGTTTTACGCGTAACCTCACCTTCCCGATCGAATTTCACAAAATTGTTTGCCTCTACCGTCGAAATATAGACAGAACTTCAACGCTTGGCACAACCAGAGTCAAGGATCCTGTGGCAGAAAATAAAAAGAGAATCGAAACTAATGAAAATCATTTTCGTTTCATTTTAATAGTGCTCAGTTCGAGATTTCCGTATTTGACAGATTTAGAGAAGAACGTGTAAATACGTGTACGCGGTACAATTATTTGGAAATTAATTGCAATATTCTACTATGTATGGAATAATAGTGTCGCGTTGTGTACGATAAACACACTACACTTTAGAAATCCTCGAATGCCGTTTTAGATCAGATCAGAAGTTAATCGAGTGCATTGACGATGCAGTGACTTGTAAGGAAAACGCGCAAACACGGACGCGTGTCGTTTAACTTTTTCCGTGAGTTCGCCTCTTTCCCCCATACCCCTGACCGTTCCCATCGGGAACGCGTTTCCGTGTAAAAGACGCGCTTGTAAGTGGATCGTTTGGGGTACGTGTGTCATGTACGAACAAACGCGCTCGTACGTTTGTATCTAGTGAAAACGAGATACCCATGAATCGCGGGGAACGCCCCATCGTTCCTGATGATGCTGCGAGGGGTCGTCACCCCAATCCCCTTCGTACACCACCCTCGTAATTGCGCACTTCGGTTCGGTTTATAATAAAGTCATCGAGCAGACAACACGTTCCAAACAGACTCCCCTTTCTATCAGTGGATCTTGTCGATTTCGTTCATCGATTTGCGCAAAAACCGAGAACACTCTGAAGAGTTTTAATATCCAGGTTTGCATCGAGCTGCGAGCATTTAAATTTGGCTAAAAGTTCAAAGCGAGGTATATCGAAATCATTTTCTTGGATGCAAAATATAAGGATGAAAGGTGAGATTCTCTCTTCGTCCAAAGGTCGTCCAATTTCAACAATGAGCCGTCGTCCAATTTGATCAATTAGGAGAGGCAAAAGGCGTTGCCACTTTGACGAGAAAACCTCGCCCTTTTCTTTTTTTTTTTTTCTTTCCGTCGCTTTCTTCGACGAGGGTGCGAAGACAATGATGGTTTCGAAGGACCAGAACAATACCGCGGATGACAGCGGGACTCACGATTACAATGTGTCACCGACTGAGTCTATCTGCTAATTGCTTTCTCTTGACGGACTTCCCTCTTTCTCTTTTTTCTGTTTCTTTTCGTAAGGAAAAAACAGTCCATCGATTCGTCTTCGAACTTCTCAATCCAATTGAAAAATATCATTAAATTTTAAGAATACGTAAACAATATACATGCGATTTTCGCGTAAACTCGTATGAATAATAAGAGCACATACCCATAATTCAATTCTAAAATATTTTCACGTCTTTTTCGGAAAACGAAAGAGGAGGCGCGCATCGCCCACCGCGAGAACGTCCCAGGTAAATTCACATGATGTTGAACGCGCCCGCTCAGAGAAGGGGCTTTTAATCATGGGAAACTCGAGTGGCGGCATATGTTGCTGATACAGAGGAGTCAATTAACCGGCGGATTCGTACGACGTACGGGGCCGGTGTGTGGGAATCGAGTGATTTTTAGAATCAACAAACATAAATCAAGTGTTTCCACAAGCGAGTCACGCCGTCTCTCCCTCCGTTCCTGTAGAGGGTGTCCGACGACCACCCACGGCTTACCGGTGTCATAGTCACGGTGGTAGCCCCGTGCACGGTAGTATCCCGCACCGGGGAGACCAGGAGGGTTGAATGGTGGCGACAATTACGTGTTTAGGGGGCACAAAAGGGGTGGCACCCGTGGGACGATCCATCGGAGCGTGGTGGCGCGTGCCAAGGCAATTCGACACTCGAGGATGATCGCGCGAGCACGATGCATTATGCGACTTTGACGACGTTCGCTGTCCACGCTTGTGACTCCATTGTTACGACTGCGTCGTCACCGGCAAGAAACCGGAAACGGGAGTCACGTTTGTTCAAGTTGTTTTCTATCCAATCGACTTTTTCCAACTATTGCGACAAAGAAACGTTGATGAACGATAACGCGATGTGCTCCAGAGACGAATGATACTTTGTACACCTTGAAAATAGAAGAATGCAGAAGAATGCAGTCGAGAACTTTTTGTTCCAAAATTGCAGTATTTTTTCAGTTTTGAGTATATTTAAGTATAACCCAGGCAAAACAAACAATAAATTTGTCGCTTCTCAATAATTTCTATCCAGTGATGTCATACCGACGAGTTCAAAAACAAAGCGACGAATTATTGTATACGACTTGGTCACTCGTTATGGTCCGCAATCAGTTGCCAGCGCAAGTGATTAATTACCATTATTTTTGCACTTGATGAGCAAAGTTTTGTTCTTAGAGTTATGAATTATCGTGTTCCTCGGTTAGTTTAAGTACATCTGCGTGGACTTAACGATCGCGTGTCTCGGAAGTATTTAAAGCTATTCGTTTCCAAATTCTGCGAAATAATAAAGTAATAACATTTTCATATTTCTCATCTTACCAGTCTGGCCAAGTCTGTAGTCGTGGCTGGTACTTCTTGATCCTGATTCATCCTTGTTAGCCTTGTCTCCCTTCCGATTGAAAATTCGTCACCAGGTTCCACGAAAATGACACGGCTGGAAATGTCGGACAAACCGAACGGATCGCACGAACTGTCGCGTAATTTCAAAGTCACGTTGCTACACCGTCAGGATCAAAGATAGGACTGAGACGAGTGATTTGATCTCGGTGAACAGTGAAAAGACAGGGTGTATGCATCGAGGGGTTGTGTCTACGGTACGTCTACGCCCACAACGTGGTATAGAAATCAGCCCTGCGCGAGCTACCCTGACTAGGGGTTGCTTCCAACCCCTGCTTGGTAGGCGGAGCCTCGAAATCATTGGTAACCTTCTCTTATACTGCGAAGCTTTGTGCTTCGACAACACCTACGAGAACACCTCTTTTCGTTGGAATTCTTTGTTAATCTTGCGAATCGTTTTCCTAACTCTGTCATATTATGTGTTCTGAATGGCACATTCAGATACCGATTTTTTTACGAAAGGATTTGGGCTCCTTTTTAATTAAGCGACTTCTTGGTTGAAATTTATTTATGTATCGGGATATCAAGATATATCTGAAATTGATGTTACACGCTTCGATAAGAAGAATGATTCCGATGATTGTTAAATTACGTATATATTAAGTCAGGCATATGTTAGATTAGTGTGTGGAAAAATAGTGGAGGTTAAATATTGATTTAATTTCATCTGATTTTATAATACTTTATTACAGTGTTGTCGGAAATTGCACAGGTAACATGATAACTTAGGAATTGTGTAAATAAATGATTTTCCTCTAGTTGATAACTGCACATTGGAAAATTTATATTTAATTGACAAGTTCCAATAAAATAGAGGATAATGTGTCATTAATAGGAAATATCAAGATGAGGAAATATCAGTAGAAAAGAATATTAATAATTATTAAAATTTCTCTATTCACTTACGTTAGTCATATATGTAGTTATCCAATTCATCGTTGTTTAAGCGTAGAGTGCGCTAAAAAACCAGTGACTTCTTTACCTAGTCGGTAATTCAGATCCAGAGACACGACGCCTCAGTTAATCTCTGGTCTGTCCTATTTTTAATCAAAGGTCTTAATTAGTCAATGATTCTGTATCTCATCTGTGGCAGATGTAACAATATTATTCATAATTTCTGCGTTTAATTCTTGTTACTAGTAGCGCTGTAGTGCAAAACCTGACTAAATCGATATGGTAGATTATGACACGAAAATGGTAAGGGGGTCACGTAATCTCCAAAATATGGGACACAATAAAACTGGAAAAAAATGAATCTCTTAGCATTGACTAATAGCACAGACGAGGTGTATTAATAGATCTAATATACAATGTATTTTTTTTTGCAACGATTTGCAGTCCTCCGGACTGAGTTATCATTTTGAGGTCACATCCTATCATACCGATTCAGGCAAGTTTTGCACCGCCACAGATGAGGTACAGACGAGATTGGCAACCATATTTGTTTGTGGTAAAGTATAAAAGATATTACTGTCGGCATCTTTCTGGGCTTTCAGCGTTTTATTGCGATGATGTTTCACAAATTCGCTCATGGATTCCGCTACTTACTGAATCTTTTCATACATGCGCAGAATCATGAAAAAATTTAGATCAGATTCTGTTGGACTTTTCCCTATCTCGTACGTTTAATTTTTTACTTAAACCAATGGCTCTAAGTCGTTAAATGGAATCGAGGCTATTCTACTTGCTGTGTAATTTAAAAATGAATTTTCATATGATAAATTCACGATGCAGTGAAAAATTATTATTTCTGCTGTAATGTGGTTATCCATGGATATTATGTTCATTGGAAGAGATTCATTATCGTGACAAGTATTGCATCACTGTAAGTTTCACAATGTGTGATTTTCTGAATATTTATCGATTGATAAATCTTATACCTGCCTTCGTTGACAGTGAGTTTCGACCTGTGACTATTGAAATGTATAAAAATATTCAACAGTACTAACGTGTTACTATTGCATCGTGTTTATACTTCAATAACGAACAATATATGTATATATTACAGAATTAACTAGAGATTCTATTTAAATGACTTATCGTTATTCTTCATATGTTATGAAAGATTGGCTATAAGATGAACATACGCATATGAAAATATTTATAAAACAGTTTTGACCAATTTGAAGTGTATTTGTTCTATTACTGTAACATGTAAAAAATAAAATTTTCTGGGAGGTTACTTCATTATATTGTTAAATAATTTTGGGAAACGTAAAATGGGAAAAATATACTTATACAATCGTTTTTCTCTTATCAGTTTCGTAAATAATTTGGGTTTTAATTCATAACAAATACCAATGAGATATGCGGTATAAAGTTAAACAGCAGCATCCAAGATCTTTACTGCATAAGTATTATAATTATAGTGAAGTTAATAGTGCCATAAAATTACAAGATGTCTGCAGTAGAAACACCACATTTCATACGTACCATCGAATGGGATATGATGGATAAGACAAAGTTTTTTCCATTGAGCATGCTCTCATCATTCTCTGTACGCTGTTGTCTATATCCCTTAACAGTGATTAAAACTCGTTTACAAGTTCAAAGGCACAACCACATGTACAATGGTAAAGTTTTAAACAAAATTCAATTGAAATATTGACATATTAAATATTAAACTCTTCCACAGGAATGCTAGATGCTTGTAAAAAAATTTATCAAGTGGAAGGTTTGAGTGGTCTGTACAGAGGATTTTGGATAAGTTCTATACAAACTGTATCTGGGGTATTTTATGTGTCTACGTATGAAGGTGTGCGTCATATACTTGGACAAAATGATGTTATAGGTAATATAGACTCAAGGATAAAATCATTAATTGCTGGTGGAGCTGCTAGTTTGGTAGGGCAGACAATAGTAGTACCATTTGATATTCTAAGTCAGCACTTAATGGTTCTTGGGATCAATAATAATAAACATGGAAGATATATAGATAAGGTAAATGTGGAAATGAAAATATTAATATGCATTTATTTTATCTGTTATCCTTCACATGTTATTTACAGATGGGTATGAATCCATTGGGTTTAATTCTTGAACCAGGAAAATCTAGAGCTCAAATTTCGGCAGACATTATCAGATCAATTTATCAGAGAGATGGTTATAGGGGTTTTTATAGAGGATATGTTGCATCATTGTGTGCTTATGTTCCCAATAGTGCCCTTTGGTGGGGACTATATACATCCTATCAGGGTAATTACTTTAAAACGAGAGCATGGAAAATAAGTTAAATTCAGATATAATAACTTTTTTCATTTCTGTTAACAGAAGAACTTATAAAAGTGTTCCCAGAATGGGTTTCTCACTTGTTTATTCAAGCTCTTGCTGGCACATTAGGAGGATTCACTACAACAATTATTACAAATCCTCTAGACATAGTACGGGCAAGGTTACAAGTACAAAGATTAGACAGTATGTTTAGCACATTCAAAGTTTTATGGGTGGAAGAAAGGTTGCAAATGTTTACAAAGGGACTTTCCGCGCGTCTTGTACAGTCTGCTTGTTTTAGTTTTTCAATAATAATAGGATATGAAACTATTAAAAGATTCAGTATAGTCGAAGAGTACAAAGGTTATATTAGGTGGTGAATTTATTCTGTAAAACTCAAAATAATTGTTTTTTCTTTGTCATGCATTTTTCGACAAGTTCTGTTGTATATTTTACGCAGAAGTAACTAATACGCACCAAAGAGAGAGGAACGAGATCATAGTGATCTTTAAATTGTATTAATATTAGTATATTTTAATAAATTGTAATTGTAATTATGGTTAACAAATATGACAAAAACATGGAAATGTTTATTTTAAGTAATAAAAAATGATTGATCATAAATTTTAACCAGAATATAGTTACATATTAATTACATCTGCAATATTTTTCCTACTGTTTATATGTCATCCAGAGTTTGCCAACATTTGCTAAAAGTGTATTTTATATTGTTTCTTTCATATTTCGTAAAATACAAATTTTATATAGCCTGTAGGGTTAGGGTTAAATTATTGTGATAAAAAACAATAAAAGAGAATGTTTCTATAACGTAAAACTAAATATGTAAAATAAATAATTTTGTTAGCTGACATTGTATATTCCGTCGATCATTATTTACTTTATCAATATAGGATAAGTGATGGACAAAAAGTGAATGATATCTTTTTCATTTCCATTTTTTATTATAAAGGACAGCATATTGATAGACACATTTTGTTTCGAAGGTACTTAAGTGGTCTTGTACGTCAATTGATACTTTTTGAGTATGCACGTTATCTACCTCTTAAAAATTAAATATGACGATTCCGTTCTTTATATGTACAGGCCAGAAAAGTCTTAGTCTACGTCAGTATAATGCGAAGTGTACACACATTCACATCACCGTTATATCTCGCCGCTTATATCTGTATCGTGATTTTGATAACATAGGTAGTGAAATACAAGTCTTCGTAATGTACTATTAAACGTAGCATCCAGTTTCTGAATAACAAAAGTTACGTATACGCATAGAGGTACTCTACGAAAACAGTGTTTTCCAATGGAAGTATTACGAGTTGATTGAGAATCTGTTATTATTTTATGCAGCCTAATACATTGGAAATATATGTTTGAGTAAATGACGTGAATTTTACAAGTTAAATGTCAACAGTGTTCAACTTTGGCGCTTAAATTTCTCGTATATACCAAGCGCTCTCTGTCTGAGGCTGTGGGAAACACTGTTTTAGAGTAGGACTTGTGATTTTCGTTTCTGATAATTCGCGTTTTGCCTTATCAGTAAGAAGCAGATCGATAATTTTCCTCTTTTAATTTTGTTCCACGCGACGTATCGATTTTCATAAACTATTTCTTTTATTAAACTTTCGAGCATTAACGAACTTACAGTACAATGACTAGAGTTGTTAAAACGCTAAATCAGTTGCGCGCCATTTTTTTTTCCGTGTGAGTGAATTTTCTTTGAGACGAATGCGATTATTTTTGCAATGAACTTTATGTCATGAAGTTATAAATAAAAACAACTGCCACAGAGTGTAAAAAATTATTTTAAAAACAGAACTCAATAGGTATAATTATTATTGGATAGTACAACTAGACTAGTCTTCGTTGGCTTGAAATCCGAGGTAAATCATTTGTTTATTTTAACATTAACACTTTTTTTTAATCTTTCATTTTTCTGTTGCATCGCATAGTATTCCGATTTTTAATCTTACATGCAAAGAGTTAATATGTCACGGCTAAAACAAGCAAGTGACAATTTTTCATGAACAGCGAATATTCAATCCGATCTTTTTCGTAGTGTTTAGGTTAGCGAGATAGGATTATTGAATTAATATTGAATATATCTTTATTCGAGGAAACGTTTGTTTATATTCGTACTGATACACGCTTTTGGTACAATTTCTCATACACATATACGTTTCACAGTGTTCTAATATTTACATTTTGCATGGAAATTGTTTTATATACAACAACGATTGCCTACATTAGGATACTCTCGATAAAATAAATAATTGTTCTGTCATAAAAATATCCGCCATTGAAAGTAGAGGTATCTGTCTGTCGACTAAAAATCGTCCAGTGTGATAATCGTATTCTGTCGAGTAGATTTTTATTAATAGAGGAAACGATTTCGAAATATTTAAATTAACAACATACAGAGCTTGGTTCGATCAATTAATTTCAAACAACGGAATTCGACAGTCGTATTTAACAGATATATTTCTTTTTTTTTTTTTTTGAAATTGGCTATCAACGTGTGTGAATACGAAATCATGCTTTGTTTCTTTTTTAAATATTATCCAGACTACAGCTTTGTTACTTTATTCATCGATTAAGTTACATCGGCCTTGGTACGTGTTTCACGCTGTATTCTTGTAAACGAAAGGAACAACTCGGTTGTTTTCTTCGTCAATTCGATGAAAAAAAAAACCTTTCGATTTTGCCAGTCTTGTGTCGAGGAAACTCGAAGGTAACTCTCAATCTAGACATTGGTTTGTCGCATCGGATCCATTTGAATATACGTATTTAACGATCGACGTGACTGGAAGAACAGTGCGGAACGCGCATATTCGATTTTTTTGCAGGAAAATGCGATTTTTTTTTCCCCGAGGGAACGTTGTTAATTTTCTCGTAAGAAGTGTTGTTGTTTTTTTTTTCACGTGTTTTTTTCTTTGTCGATCGACAGCCGGCTTGGCGCGCTAATACGTTTATTCGTTTCTCGTTATTTTAACTTTGTGCACACCTTTTATTTATACAGTCACTTGCCAATGCGCCGACACGGAAACCAATACCAATTCCACATTACGTTAAATTCCAAACGCTGGGTCTCGTCAGTCTTCTAAACGCGTGACGCCACACAGGCACAGAGACTGTGTTTTCTTTCTCGCGATTCGGTTCACGGTTCACCCGAGGAACAATAACGTTTAATCGTATCGAAACGAAAGCGGGCAGACAATTGGTTGGACGCATGTGAAATCGAGGAGTAATAGGAAAATAGGATAAATTCGCCGTGTAGGGTGCGGCGCCATCGCCGGCTGCTCTGTATACGATTTCGTGTACGAAGGTTCGCTAAAAGGCTACATAGTGTCCGAACGTAAAAACGGTAACAAGCCGTCCGACTCGATTCATGGTACCGTCTTTCCCCGCAATTCGATTTGTTCTCTTTTGTTTTTTTCCACTAGATTCTTCGTCGGAGGTACAAAACGCGAAACTACTGTTGCTCTCTCTCTCTCTCTATGTACAAGAAATTGTCGCGAGTCGCGCGTCACGCTTCTTCTCGTGGTCCACTTTTTTCGTCAGGTCGGTGAAGTTCGACGACGAAGATGAAGAAACGAAACCAGGTTTCGCATATCCTTGAGATCCACGACGAGATCCTCGGTTTGTCCTGCTCGGAAGCACAGGCGGGGATCGGTGAACGATCTTCTTGATTCGCCTCGTTCGGATTCTATCTCTGAGAACGAGTCAGAACGATGAGAAGAGATAGACTGGAGAAGCGAGTCTACAATCACGTGTCCCGGAAACGGATCGCGCGTTCTCGCCGAGGCCCAGGCCGGGCCCCCGTGTGACGTCACATCCCGCCGCTAGGTAGTATGGTACCGGCACCACCGTCGCTGCTCTGGCTGACGCTGCTGTAGCTCACACGACTCGCCTCGCCGCTGGTGCTCGCTCCGGTAACGTACTGCAATCAGAACAATCAGATTCTCAGATCAAATATTTTACCGTGGCTAGAGGGAACCATCCGTCCACCGTGTGCTCGGTGCGCGTATGTACAATTGAGTGGTAGAATTGGATCGTGATCGAGTTGGCGTTAATCCGGTGTTAAATTAGAAAAGGTGTTCAGAAAAGCCTGGAAAGTATCGAGTGTTCCTTTCCCTTTAACCTCTTGCGCTGGAATGACGTGCCACGCACGTCGAGAATCTTTTCTCCCAAACATTGCAATATTTTCTTAGTTTTAAATATATTTAAATATGACCCAGGCAAAACAAATAATGAATTTGTTACTTGTCAATAAGTTCTATCCAATGATATCGTACCGATGACTTCAAAAAGAAAGCGACAAATTATTGTATACGGTTCGGTCACTCGTTATGGTCCGCAATCAGTTGCTAGCACAAGTGATTAACCTCTTGCGCTGAAATGACGTACCACGCACGAGAATCTTTTGTCCCAAAATTGCACTATTTTTTCAGTTTTAAGTATATTTAAGTATGACCCAGGCAAAATAAATAATGAATTTATTACTTCTCAATAATTTCTATTCAGTGATATCATACCGATGAGTTCAAAAAGAAAGCGACAAATCAGTTGCCAGCGCAAGTGATTTGGGTTAAGTTTGGGTTAGCCTACCTAACCTACAACCTAACCCAAACCTAACCCATGCGTATCATCCTTGCGCAGAGATCATGCTAATCTTCTCTGTATCGTTCCAATTTTAGTATATGTACTGCTGAAGCAAGTACAAAAAATGTGGAACGCTTCATGATTTTGCGTGTCATCCTTGCACAGGGGCCATGCTAATCTTCTTTGTATCATTCCAATTTTAGTATATGTACTGCCGGAGCAAGTACAAACCTAACCTAAACCTAACCCAAACCTCTTGCCACGCACGTCTTTTGTCCCAAAATTGCAATATTTTCTCAATTTTAAGTATATTTAAGTAAAACAAAATAGGCAAAACAAATAATACCGACGAGCTCAAAAAGAAAGCGACAAATCATTGTATAGGGTTCGGTCACTCGTTATGGTCCGCAATCAGTTGCGAGCGCAAGTGGTCAAGCCCGATCTTTGTAACACCCGGAGCCCCTGAAATATGTTCGTAATGCTCGAGAGCATCTACTACGAGAGGCTTACGTATAGAAATCGCGAAGAATATTGTTTACGCGATGCGATGCTTGTAAATTGGCTGACCCAAGAAAGGGAGGATCCGGGTCAATCGCTTTTGAGGATGTTTCAGCTGGTAAGGAAAAGATGGACTCTGGAAGAGCGATAAAAAATGGAATCGAACGATAGCGCAACGAGCACGCTAGTTAATGCTTCTCGTGCATTAGCACGAATTATCTCGCGTCGCTCGCGCAACTCGCGAACGATATCGATATACACACGAGCCCGCATTGCCTACTTTCCCGTAATCCGTTGTTTGTTTTATCGACGAGTCACACGCTCTATCTTTTCATCGGTTTTTGCACACACGCCGGTATTATAGATTGCCTTCCTCCCTTCACCGTGGAATCAGAAAAACGGGTTCGCAGATCGAATCTTCCTCTCCTATGGTTTTCTCCCAAAAAGCTTCGAGAACAACTTCATCCGATATTTTTACAAAACGCCCCGACTTCCACTTTCCTCTCCGATGTTTCACGCATCGATCGTTTCCCTCTTCGCTTTCCCTCTTGGAACGCGTCCAGTTGTTGTAAGAACGGAACGTTATCGCCAAAAGGATATTTATCATTGCCAAGCTATTCTTTGATATTCTCGTAGAAGGATCGTTCTTTCCAAAACAGATTAATTCTGTTTGCCGCTCGGGACTGTCGTCTGGTAAAGCGTGTTTTAATCTCGGAGGGGCGGCTTGCTGATCGTCGTCGAATCGATAGATTTCCATGGGAGAACGTAACAGCCTTCGTCTCTTTTTTAAAGGTCGCAACGGATCAACGGCGAAAGGTTTCCGGTTCACGCTCACGCTCGATGCAGTCGCGCCTTTGCGTCGATCTCGTTGAGAAGGGGGCGAGGGATGAATCGCGAATAGGCGGCCCGATAGAGCAGCACATGACAATGAAACGATTTTCGATGGCTCTGCTGTCCATAAACCAAATAACTCAATGCCTGAGGCGAAGCGGTGGGCCGTGGAAAAATTGTCACCGCAAATACCGTATCGACTAGGCGGGCCGATTTCGCGGATGAAACATCGCGCGCTGAATTTACCGCCGGTTTCGTCCCAATCGACGTGTCTTTAATTGAATTTTTTCGCTCAATTTTTTCGTAATTCACGTTAAGTAGTAAATTTAGACTATCGATTCTCTACGTTTTCATCTTCACAGCACAGCGCAAATATCGGATTTTGTAGTAATCATTGTATTTATTATATAAATATTACAATGATTTATATAATAAATACAATTTATATAAATATTATATAAATATTATAAAAATATAATGATTTATATAATAAATATATAAATTGTATTTATTATATACGTTGAAATATTCATTGTTTCAACATTTTTCTCGAATCGTCATTAAATAATATAATGATCCACGTGTGAGAATTTCTTGAAAAGTTTTTGTCGTCGACACGAGATTTTTACTGCACGAGTCACCGAGACTTGCAGAAATTCTTGTGGAAAAGTCCCGACGTTAAATCCCCAGTTTCTTCGATACTCGCGTTACGAAGTTGCTTTCGAACTCCGCTCCTTAAAGTACAATTCAGTTGATAGTTAACCAGCAAAGGGAGCGGTAACTGTAATCTCGGCGCGATACGAAATTCTCCTTCCCGTCGGTGTTACGTTCGTTTGATCTCGAGGGCCGGCTAGCGTGTCAACGCAAAAGTTTCCTCGTTTATCCTATCAAGCACCGAATTCCCATGGGGGGTGGTCAGGCCAGATCGGATTCCCTGTTTCTTTCTGGCTTTTTCCTTCGGTTTTACCCGAAGCGCCGTCTCTCTGGCGAATGAACTAAACTAAAAGTATCTAGGTCAATTTCTACACCTAAGTCCGGTTACAGTTTGTCGCGCAATTGTCCCCGCGTTATTTTCTTCCGCGATACTTTCTCTCCGATACTGGGATAGTTTATCGTTACCGATCACCGAGCAGCAAACGCTCGAAGGTTCTCGCGTTGTTTCTTCGCGTTGATTCGCCATCGATCGAATCGCCTGAACCTGAGACGATGGCATATCGGATGGCAATTGCTTCGTTAATTCGACGATTTTCAAAGTTCGTTGTAATTAATTCCCTCAAGGTTTTCAAGGAAATATCGAAACGAAAATGTAAGAAGATAGAAACCGATTACAAATGTGGAGAGACAAGTGTAGGTCGAAAGGTGTAGAATTCATCGTAACGGCGAATACCAACGTCTCTGCCTCTTCTTGTTCACATTATCAGCAATCGGGACTGTTGAATTTATGAACGTAACCCGAAAGCGAGGCCGGAGACAATTTATTGAAAATCTGGCCTGGTGGGTGTTAAATCGTACGAAAATGCAACGTCACGAATCTCGCCGGCTCTCGACGGTCCATTTTCGGTGGTTACAATCGAATTTCGAGCCGGGCCGAGCTGTCGTCTGTGTTGACTCCGTGCTTATTTCCGGACAATGCAATTCGATTAAAAGCGCGTTTCGTGTGTATACGTGCATGCATGCAACGGTGCCGGACGATCGTTCGAGTTCTATTTCATCGGTGCACGTGTCTTGTCTTTATTTTCGTAGTTTCGAGTCTCCGAGGGAAATTAGTTAATTAACGGCGGACGCGGATCGATGATCGTCAGGTGGAATCGGCGTGTCGACGATCGATCGGGCGCGCGCCGAACGTTTGGCCAAAAATTTTCCGAGAAAGCAAGCAAGTCGATACGCAGCCCGGCTACAATAAAGGAATTTAATTAAAGTCAAACGTCGCCCTGTCCTCCGATAATTCTGCCGGTGTCCCGACGCGTTCGTTACCGGCGTCGCCGGGAAGAATTCATCGCGAATAATGGGGAAACGTAATTAAAAACGCGGAAGGGACGGATCCCTTTTAATTAGCCAATCGAGACGATGCGATTGTTGGCCGAAATGTGATCTTTGTATCGGATGTTCTCCGATCGAGTTCGTGGCTTACGCTCGTTGAGGTCCAATCGAGGGTAAAACGAAGGAGGCAGACGGCGTCGACGTTGGGGAATCGCGCGACACGCTAATTAGACATTCGAGCAACTCCGAACAGCCAGGAACAAGTCTGGTTCTACACGGCGGAGTCACGAAATTCAAATTTTTCTCGATTTCCTCTTTCCATGTCCGGGCTCCCGTGAAATAATTTCAAGTCGTGTGGGGTTTCCTTCAACCATCGTTGAATTACGTCCGTACGATCCCTCGATTTGGCTCCCAAATTAAGGTTGCTTGGAATTTCTCAACATTATCCAATTTTCTATTGAAATTGAAAGGAAATTCAACCACGGATTGTACACGTGCATTTTTGTCGTTTCCCTTGATATACACAGGATGTTCATGAAACTGTTTTCAAATTAATCGTCGCATCAAGCCTACAATCTCAAAATTTTATTTACAAAGGTAAATGAAAAGACAGATAAGTGGAAATTATTACAAAATGAGACGTATATATTTAAGTTTTTTTTCTGTTTCATTTAATACACCCTCTATATGGGCACCATTAGTTGCACGAAGCACATCAAGACGGTACTCGATTTCTGACTCGATTGATGTATTTCTTAGATGTTCTTGGTCGTCCGCTTCTCCCTTTGTCGAACATTGTCCCTGTTTCCATAAATTTCTTATGTCATGCACGAATTGATGGACGTGACGGATGGATCTCTTCCATACTTAGTTCTGAAGTTTTGCCGAGTCTGCAGATCCAATTTGGTTTCAACAAACCATGATGATACACACTGTGCCTTCTCTTGAGGAGTAGCCTATTTTATAAGAGATTCATTTAACAGTATCTTATTCATCAACAGGGTACCTGAAATGCAATGTGATAAAAACTTCGATAACCACCGGGTTAAATAGAACAAATCTGACGAAGATATCTCGTCAATTGCCTTTGTAATAAATTTTTGAAATTCTAAAAAAGACTTTATAGACACCCACGTGAGGTTATGTTAAAGATATCGTGTATGGAACAAAGGTACGGGACATCACTAACCTAAAGCAGAGGATCACTGATGCCATTGCCACCATTGATGAGGGTATGCTACAGCGAACATGGCAAGAAATCGAGTACCGTCTTGACATGCTTCGTGCAACTAATGCTGCCTATATAGAGGTATATTAAACAAGGCAAAAGGAAAGAAAAAAACTTAAATACGTCTTGTTTTGTTATTTCCACTTATCCTGTCTTTTCATTTGCCTTTGTAATAAATTTCTGAAATTGCAAAGAGACTTTATGGACACCCGAACGATTTACAATCGCGTATACATCAGTGCCACAGTACAATGTGACCAACATTCAAACGCGATAAACCTCTTTTCGGTTATCGGAACGAGCGTAGCATGGAAATCGAACGAAACGGGCGTCGTTTTATTATTTTCTTTTTTTTTCCATCCCCCCAGTTGAATTGCAGCGTGCTCGTGTGCCGCGACTTCCTTCGCTCGAGCGGACTTTGCGGGCCGACGACTCTAATCCTGGCAGCGGAATCGTGTCCCTTTTTTCTTTTCTTTCCTAGTTTCTTTTTTTCTCTGCGGGACGGTAATAAAAATCGCGGAAGGAAAGATATCGACGTAGAAAAACGACAGGCTGTGAACTTGACGTTGAACAAGATGCCCGGGGTAATCGGGTGAGCGAGCGATTGATGAGGATTCGCAGATCGCCCCGGCAATTTATATTCTCCTTTTGTAAATTGTTATTTGGAGAATGGCGTAGTCGTGGGATGGGGACAGGGTCCCCATCCGTCCATCAGTTCCCGACGTTTATGTCTCCTTCAGCTCGTCGTGACTCATGTCCCCTTGTTTTATTTTATTTTGTTTTATTTTCGAGATTTTCGCGCCTCCGTCCGACGAGAAGGACAGTTTGTATCGCTTGGCGGGTTGCAAAGTTTCCACGGGGGATCGCGTTAATTCGTCGTCCCGCGATTCGCCAATCTCGCGGTTAAACCAGATGGCTATCGGTTGGTTTCCCCCTCTGGTTTCGGGAAAACTAGTCAAGCGGCAGCAATCAGATTCGGTCCGATTCGATCGTTCCATAGTTCGAGCGACGTTTTTTCGCCAATCTCTTCGACGCCCTTACTCGAATGCACTCTCGCAACTGTTTACGAAGTTCAACGCGATATTACTGCGATACTACGACTTTTTTCTCGAAGGCGGCTAATGCAGGGTCAGCCGGCAGACTGCGAGTTTCCCCGAGACGCGAGAGCGCGCTGTGCCGCGTTTCGTCGACGTTTTATGGAGCTGGTGTGCAAACTGCCGCCGTGCAAGCCGGCGCTCTCCGAAATAAGATAAGAGCGAATTTCCCGGGGTGCACCGGGGAAGTGTTCGTTCGTTCGTTGATAGCGAGAGGAGTTGCAAACGCGTGATTTCGCTCGGCAACGGAATTAACGCTGACAAATAACGCGAGACGCGTTCGAGCATTGAAATAACGCTCGCCTCGGCTTGAACTGGCTAATACGACGGTTTTCGTGATGGACAGTAGCTGACACGAAATGAAGTATTTAAAAAAAAAAAAAAAAACGATAAAACGAAACGCAAAAAAGAAAAAAAAAAAAACGGTTATTTAACATATTCCGTGCTGACGCGTTTCATATTTAAAGTACGGATACTATCGATCGGCGCATGCTATCGCCGCCGTTTTATCGTTTATTTATACATGTTTTCATTTGTTTGCCTACGTCGCTAGTTTATTCTGTTATGCCCTATTACGTTTATTTATATCCTCGTTGGCCGAGGCTTTGCCAACGAAGAGGCTGCACCGTGTACGAGAACTTTCGGCCGGCGAGCTGCCGACCGAAATCACAGGGTTTCATTCGAAAATGGCAATTCTAGTTCCTGTTAATGTTATTTACTCCTCGGCGCAGCGTGATACGAGCGATTCCATTTGATCGGATTACACGGCGCAATTACGCGTTAATCGAGCAGGTGTGTCGCGCCGAGCCGGCTTTTTATAGGTTTTTTTTTTTTTTTTTTTTGCAAACATCCCCTATCGCTGGGGGTGAAAAACAACGCACGATTTTTCGACGGCAATTTTCAAGCCGCGATCTCCGTTTGACAGTTTCTCGCCAGAGTTAATCTCGAGGGTACTCTCAAGCGTTGTGTCCGTTTGAGAGCAGCTTTGAGAATTTTCACTCTTCACTTTTCTCTCTCCGAGAGAGACCGAAATACTATCCGATAGAACTCTCAAAACCGTGTCCATTTGAGAGTTCATTGTCTTTGGTCCTACTCGCTGTGGTGTAGCTTAGTTCGAAACACGAGTGTGAACAGTGACATCTTCATATAATTAAATATTCTATGACATTTATCTATAATATTTAAATTATTATATAATTTAAATATTATTTATAAATATTTAATTATATAATATTATATAATATAATTATTATATAGTAATTTAAATATTATATAATACTATATATTATATAATGTTTAATTATACAATATTATATAATTAAATATTTATATATAATATTTAAATTATTATATAATTAAATATTATATAATATTTAAATTATTATATAATTAAATATTATATAATATTTAATTATACAGTACTATATAATTAAATATTTATATATAATATTTAAATTACTATAAATTAAATATTATATAATATTTAATTATACAGTATTATATAATTAAATTGTTAATAATTTAAATATATATGAATATAAATATTTAATTAATAATATAATTATTATACAATAATTTAAATTAATAATTATTTAATTATATAATATTTAATATTATATATAAATTTATTATATATATTATTTAATTACATAACATTATTCGGTCGTATTGACGAATGAACGGCTGTCAGTCATAAGACACGAAGCGAATTAGCCGATTGATTTTGAATTGTAGCGGTAACACGCTCGCTGCAAATTGGATGATAAATTATTAAATGAATCGCGTCATGCACGAAGATACGCCGGCATTAATTATCGATCATTTGGATCTTCTTTTGTCCAACACCTATGGCCGAAGTGCAGAAATTTATATACACGTATTTTCCCGTAGAAGTTGCGCAGCAGCATCGATTGGAGGAATGCCACTCCATCATTGTTCACCACGTTGTTATTCCCCTGCGAGCAATGTGATATTTTCTTTCCGTCCACCCTCTATTTTTTTTTTTTTTTTTTCTTATCCTGCATCCAGAATTTCCCACAAATCTCCAAGTTGTGTCATTTTCGATCAATACTCTCGCGCCAGTTCGTGCGCAAAGTGAAATGTTCGAACAGTCTGACGAGCAGTGAAAGAAGTGATAGAAAAGGGCCAGAACTTTGTCTTTCCATTCGCGATAGGAGTGGGTGCAGAGACATACATCTCGAAACGTAGGTCCGGGGGTTGGTGCATATACCAAACACGTGCTAGTGGTGCAGGTGCTCGTATACGTGTGTCAAGTGTGCGTGTAGGTGTCGGTGATCGATAAATCCATTCACTAATCAACATACCGAGGCTATGTTATACGGGGTGGTGACAGAATCCTTCGTCGATAATCTCTGTACTAAAGTGTCTCCGGGCGATTACTCGGATAGGACTTGTCGCAGGCAGGACGATGCTTCTCGATGGTAACGAGCGGAAGGGAAGGTGGAAGGAAGGTAGAAAAGGTGTCCAACGATTGACGAGGATCCACATCGCGGCGATATCCCATCGTTAAATGTAGGTTTGCTCGCACGAACTCTCTTGGCTGCTTCGTACGTGGTGGAGCGAATAAGCGGAGTAGTACCTCCCCGATGCGAATCTCTGAAAAAACATGAATACACTCGACTCGATGTCTCACGTGTCTCCTCTTTTCTGTCGCAGCGTTCTCCAATCCATGTACGGTGAAAACGGAAGTTCAAATTGATCGAATATATATATATATATAGCGAGACGAGACGAGAAGTTCCAAGATCCTCCTCGGTTGTAATTCAATCTGGCCAGGTTGCCTGTTTTCGAATAAACCGACGCATGTTTACGCGAACTACAGGAAGGTTAATAGGTTTCCCCTGAATGCCGGATTCACCTGACGCGCGGGGTGAAACTAGACGAACTTTTCAGCAAGCGGGACGAAGCTTTTCGCGTGCGCGTTTCAAAGAAAATGTTGTGCAGGAGACGGGTATAAAGTAGCTAGTAAAGGGACGTTATATCGTGGATGCGGCGTTGTCGCGCTCGCTTAATCGAAGTGGCTTTTCCGAGGCCGCGGAAGTTGCCGGAGCCGATATCGCCAGATATCGAGCCCGCGCAAGCTATTTGTTCAGCCGTACAGCACGCGGAGGCGGAAACGCGCGACGAAATTATATGCAAATCGAAGGCAAACAGTAAGTCTAATTCGCGGATATTACGTTCGCCTTGGTAACACAGCTTCGCGAAATTTTTCTTCCCTCCGACCAACTTTCTCTACTTAATAAATAAGAAAAGTTGCTCTCGCGCTCGGAGTTTCGCGCGGAGCAGCACGCGTCATGGGAATAGATGAAGTTTCGCGAAGCGAAGGAGAACCAATATGTTCCGAACGTAGCGGTATCGAATAGCAACTTCATCTCTTTTCCCTTGTGTTCGCATTTTCCTTTTTTCTTTCTCGTTTCTTTTTTCTTTTTTTCTTCTTCAGTGACTTGGTCAGCGAATCTTTCGCTATTTCCCATGACAGTTCAGAAATGCATTTATATTCGACGCGTTGGCACGTTTACCAAGATCGTTCGCGTGAATTCCATTTGAAAACGAAAGCCTCAAAATGAACTCTAATGAAGCAACGGCCCCATTTAATTTATTAGTCCAATAAATTCATCGATCATTGTCACGTCGTTGTAATTTTCCGCTGTTTCATATCGAACGATCGTTCACGCTCGTTTGTAACTGGCGATAAGAGAATGAGACGGAAGTTTTTGGTTACATCGCACCATTACTTAGCGAACGATCCCCGATATGATGGGAAACGTTCATCGAAAATGGAACGGAGACAATTCTCGAAGTTGCACGGCGCTTAAGCTCGGACGTTATCGCGGGAGAACGGAACTCTTTTCGTAGACGCGAAAACTTTAACAATCGAAACGATAAATTTCTTTCATTTGGCGAGCGTTCAAGGCCGTACACAACCCGACACAGTTCCTACCGTATTCCCTTGATCGCTTTATACTTGGCCTCGAGCACGCTCTCTGTCTCTCGCCTTTGGGTCTCCCACCTCATTGTCCGAATAAATCCTGCGAATTGCTTTGCAACGCAATCTCGTTTGGATTTGTCCTCGCCTGTTGCTCCCACGAACTCCTGAACGTGCAAGCGAGCCTAATTTTCTTCTGGAGATCTTCTCAGGATCAGGACTTGCAAACGCTGTCTATCTATCTTTTCGAAGGGATTTCGTTTCATTTCACTGCGTGTATCATGGCACGTTCTGAAATCGAGCATTCCGTAGAAAATTCATTCGTATAGATCGGCAAAAAGCAAGTTCGTGCTACTCGGCGATTTTTTTTTTTTTCATCTTCGAAATTGGTTCATAATGGATCGAGTGGCTGAATGTTTCTTTTTCAGCAGGTGGAACGATAACGAGTTCTCGCTGATGGAAAGGAGAGAGATCATTTTGATCAAGCGATATGTGCCGACGAATCCCGAAGAAGTTCAAGCGCTTACAACGTTTTGCAACTTCGTTTAAATTTCAATTTAAACAGAGTGGACGGCTATCTAGGTCCAACCTATGATAATGTAATAAATATTCAATCTCTGATTGTGAAGTTGAGACCACTCGAAAGCACTTCGGCGCTCTTCTCGCTCTTTTAGCAAAATTGGAAGCTTCGGGCGAGTTTAAATGGCAAAGTTTATTAATTTCTAACGTATTGTGCAGATATATGTTAACTTGTTAAATCGTGTCCACTTCCGTGTTCAAATCGTACTAGTGAAAAATACGAAAATAATTCGACCAGGTTTCAGACATTTTCAATCAATTGTTCATTCGAAACAAATTTAACGTTGTGTGTCGCTTGTCTGTGAAAGTATAGGGATATTCTGATATGTCGTGACAATAAGTTAACACGTTGACTGCCACGTGAAAATTACACGTTTTGTTTATGGGGCAAAATATATTTAATTTCTGCAAGATGCATAAGATAAAAGCATTTAATTTCAATATTATTTAATTTTAATTTGTTTTGTAATATCATCTAGTGATTTGTATTATTTTCAGTTTATTGTCAAATTTATTCACATTTCAATTGTCTTGAAACATTTATAGATGTATAAACGACTAGCGGCCAATCGTAGCAGTCAATGTGTTAAATAAATTAAATAATTCCTATACGCGTTTCCTACACGTACACGCGTGTAATACTACTCTTGACAAAAAGTTTCCAATCAAAGTCGAAATTAAAATCTTTCATACAAAAGGATTCGATTCATTGAAATCGCTGATTTTTCATACAATTTCGCACGACAATATTTTGTATCCGAATGATTTCACCGTAACGTTAAGTAACTGAACACATGTCGATCGAGTTTGAGAGTAATTTAACGATCCACCATATCTGTCACGCCATCGTAATTAGAAATGTGAAAATTTCTACACGTGGCCGCGATAATTCGATGGCCACGAGGTTTCGTATCACGACGCCACGCATCGACTTCGAAGAAGAAACCTAACGATCACGACATTCTGCTACTACGATGGATCACGAGTGGGAAACGGCGACGTCTGGGTTGAACGTTCGAGTCGACTGAAAACTAGGAACTAGGTGGAATTTTTGGCTACTGCGGTGACAGAGAGGAGAGTTCTTCTTAACACAAGAGAGGGTAATCATTGGCCTCGGTGTTGCAGCTGGCTTTGAAATAGCCGAGCTTCCTCTTTTTCTGTCGCGTGGGAGGATGCTCCGAGCTTTCGCCGAGTCGAATACGAATACAAGTGACCGGCCATTGCAGTCGCCGTGATAAAACCGAGGGACGTGACTCGGTAGCAATTTATGGGACCCGCCAACAGGGTTGTTTCCCCGTGGATGGGTTTTTCTGACTCGCGTACGACCGGAACAACGAACTGGTCGGCTGTAACGGGCGCATATTTCCTACGCGCGAACCGTACACGTGGCGCAATTTGTATGGGAGGTATGAATATTTCATACTCACTTGACTTGGTTTACATCTGAATGCCGGCTGATATCGCCGTCTCATTCGACCCGGGCAGCAGGCACACAGGATCCTCACGAACGCTCTGCAAAAGAAAAGAAAAGAAGGATGGGGCTGAATTCGATAGTGACAGTTCCTTCCTATAAAATGGCACCCTAATTTTTCACGGCCAGAGACGCGAGAGCATTGGTTGAAATTATTAGAAGGGGAGACGATATAATAGCGACGTTTCTCTCTCGTATAAAATCTCGTGTAACGTTTCGTACGAAATGTGACGATTAGTTGAAATTATCGGGGGAACGATTAATCGATTATAACCCTGCATTTATACAAGAGAACGGTAAGAGTTATTTCCATGTATTGCGAGAGGAACGTGCAGTAAGGTGCAAAATTGCAATCAGTAACAGAAATTTTTAAGAGAAATATTTTTGATTGTTAAATAAAGTATAAAAACATGAGAATAAACTCTACTATCTGACTCTTTATAGTTTTAGGAAACTGAAGCTATTCTTTAACTTTGAAGATAAGGTTTCCTCCTGGCTGAAAAAAATTGAAACCCATGGAATTTTTTCATAGTCAGATTTACAAGCTTCATCGTACCCTAATATTTTGTCCATAAGCCGTTCGACAACAGCTCTAATACGTTCTAGCTCTGAAAAAATTCTGGTGCAAAACTGATTCTGTGTGTTTTAATTTTTTCAACCGGGAAGAAACCTAATCTTAAAAGTTAAAAAATAGCTTCAGTTAACTAAAACTATAAAGAATCAGATGGTAAAGTTTATTCTCATGTTTTTATACTTTATTATTTAACAAGAAAAAATATTTTTCTTAAAAATTTTTATTATTGATTCAATTTTGATGATGGTGTGTTGTTCTTTACAATTCCTTTACAAAAAATATCGTACGACGAAACAGATGCAAAACTAATGGAAAATTAATTGTCAGAATTGTTGAAAATGATGGAAAGACAGTCTTGATACATGTCAACGGAACTATATAATTGTTAATTAAGTAGACAGCTAATTGTTAAATAATAATGAATTATTAAATTGAACAAACCCAAGTTCAACGAAAATTGATCGCGTCGTGACGAGACATTGGAAGCTATTAAATTTAACGACTGAATTCGGACCTTAACCATTCGGAATTCGGAACCATTTACTCCTAGGAATGTGTCGATTGTCGATATTGATGACAATCGTTGATCATTGTCATTATCATTTCCGAAGAAACAAGGAGAGAGAAAGAAAAAGAAGACTGTTGGGTGCATCATAAAAGTAACACGCATCGCGTATTTCGGAGTGCAAAACATTTGGCAAATTTGACACAATTTCATAGCTCGCGAATTTCAGAGTTGAATCCGAAAGAAGATAGGTTTGGGGAAGATTCGACTGGATTATTTCGAGGGAATGCACGTCCAGCGATTCGACCTCGAAAGTTGGTCACGTTACAACGCGCAAGTTTTTTTCCCCAACTTCATGATCGCATGACTGGACTGTTGTTTCAAATATCGTGTCGCAAGTATTTGCATAGACCCCGTTACACCCTGAGCGTGACGTGCGACCGCTCGACGTAAACAGAGGAATTTCATTTTCGACTCGAAAATGCTCTCCTTCTCCGAGTCCTTCTGACGATTCTTCGTTATTTCCTTCGCAATTTACAGATCGACGTTTCGCGAGCGGAATACGGTTTTTTCCTCGTGTGACGCGCCGAATCAAATTTCGTTACGGTTTCACGCAGGTTCACGGTATCGCTTCGACGATCTAGGTATCTAGCGGAGAACATCGAGTCCTTGATTATCTTGTTTACCGACGAGTGAACCACTCGCGAAGAGCAGTTCAGCGTTTGTCCTCGTGGAAACACTCGCCGTGATGTCGCTCTTTCCGTCGTCTTTCCTTGCCACTTTCACCGTGCTTCTTTCTGTTTCCACGTTCTCTTGTTTCTCGAACGTCGCGCGGGCCATCGTCTCTCGAGGCTACGCGAAGGGCAGTCGAAGGTTGATCGTTCAGGGTGTAACGAACGAAGAGAATCAACGGGAGGAATTCTTACCGGCGATACCATGCGTCAAAAGTTTCCTGTTCAAGCACGTGAGCAACGAAAACAAGACCTCCCTGGTGGTGATAGACGACGAGGAAGACATCAACGGCATAATCAAGCCGCTCGTGGCGGGCCTTCACGCTAATTTCTCCTTCTTCAGACACAGTGCGGAGTTGGACTTCGGGGTGAAATTCCCTTCAAACAAGCACGCATTGAGCACGATCATCGTGATGCAAAACGCCAGCAGCTTCAAGGATAGCTATTACGTGATAGATCCGTGCGATCGTGATTGTCCTTTTATCGTAATATTGACGAGCTCGTTTCAAGACGAAGAAACGTTCCTCGAGCAGACTGCCGTTCTAACGGAGTCGATGTGGTCGCGAAGGATATGCACCGCGGTTATTCTAGGAAGAGTCGGCGATACCGTATTCGCCGCTGGCAGCGTAACCTTCAAACCCGACGAAATCTGCAGCCTGTCGGTTCCAGTTATCTTGGACGAATGCGGGAAGATACCGTGGAGCAAGTTGGAGAAAATCGAACCTCCAAAGATGGATGATTGCACGATAAAGGTAGCCTACTTCAATGAAGATCCATACGTCGTGGCTGAGAATGACACTGGAAATAACGAGCTATGGGGATTCGAGGGACGATTGGCAGAGAGCCTGTTGGAGAATCAGATGACCTTGCGGGAAGAGGTCGCGTGGGACGATAACAGCAGCTTCGCGGAACAGGTGAAAATGATCATCAACAACAACGTCGACCTGCTCGTTGGTCGTGTTCTGCAGCAGCCCTGCGACGACATAGATTACTCAACCGCGTACGACATGTTGAAGGTGGTGTGGCTGGTGCCGAGGGTGCCTAACGTGTCACTGAAAGGACTGATCCGGCCGTTTCAACTCTACGTCTGGCTAGCGGTTGTAGGATCCATACTGTTTGGCAGTGTCATCAAGATCTTTCTGATCCGCGATCTGTCCTTTCTCGAGATATTTTCTCTGATAATTGGAGTGTCCACCCCTCGTCAGCCTACCAGGCCTTCCACAAAAATTCAGTTCGTCGCGTGGAGCGTTTTCGGCCTGTTTCTTACGCAGCTCTACGTGGACTCGCTGGCGGACGAGCTGATCAATCTGTCGGACCTGAGGTTCGACACGATGGACCAGCTGATCTTGTCGTCGTCGTTCGAAATCGGCGGAACGACCGCGTTCTCCAAGATCTTCGAGAAGTTCGAGGAAACGGACGAGATGTTCCAGATCGTGCGGAGCAGGTTCGTGACGTTCAACCAGTCCGACTATCTCGCGCAGTATCGCGACATACTCGAGGGGAGGAACTCCTCGTTCGCCTTGGTCATCGTTTTGAACTCGTCGCGCAGCGACGTGATCGAGACGAATCACGCGTACACCATGACCACGGACGTGATATGCAGTTTCCCCCTGGGTTTCGCCACTTGGAAAGGGTTCCCCAACATGAAGTACGTCGACAACGATATTCACAATCTCATCGACTTCGGGATTTTCGATTACATGATAAACCTCGCCTTGGCGAAGAACAAATACTTGGTGTTGTCGCAAACTGCGCAGGAGGCAGAGTACAAGACGGAGCTACACATGCGCCACTTCGTCCCGGCGTTCCTTTTAGTCGCCATTGGCTACTCCAGTGCTCTGCTCCTCTTCATCCTCGAGGTCGTGCTCTATCCCTCCAAGCTTCTCGAGTAGTTTTGAGAATATAACTGATATAACTGAACGACATTTTTTTAATCTGACTGAAAATTAAGAGTGACGACTTTTTCAGTGTGCGATATTGCGTATTTACCGTTTGTGTGTTACTCGTGTAGTCACGTGTAGTATGTAGTAATAATTTCGTTTCTATACTTTAGTCTAGATTCTATCAGTTAGAGTAAATTCTATCAATTATTCTATAATTGTATTAATTATTAATTCTATTCCATTAATTATTCTATATATATTCAAATATATATTATGTATATTATATATATAGTTATATATAAATCTATATATTATTCTATTAATTAAGGTAAAAAGATGCTTTCAGTAATTGCAAAGAAAAGGCTTTGGTAATTCCGCTATTAAAATTCGTTTCAACAACTTTGAACGCACGCGTGTCTGTATTTTAAAGCAGATCTTCGATAGTAAATAAACGTTTGCAGTTTCCCTTTCCTCTCTTCCCGAGAAAAGTTTGCTCCTACTATTCTCCGAAAGGGCGGCAGAAAAACCGGGCAATTCCCTGGAAGTGTGTGTGTAGATGCTCAGTTTCATTCCACGTGCATTCAACTCCGAGAACAAGTCGTTTCATTTCATTCACGATCGGAGGAAATTACTGGAATTCTCGGATTCTTCGTCGATCGAACGTGTTTGACGACCCGGAGACAATGTATCGCGTATCGTAAAAGAAATTTTCCCCGATCGGTTAACTAGAATCCATGTCGAAGAAGCCCCGTCATAAAGGCGTTCGGTCTCGAATGAATTGAACGTATCATGTTCCTAGTTGGTGATATCTCAGGCATAAAATCCCCCGAGAGGGAGCAACGTAATTACCGTATTATTCTTAACGGCCCCATACAAAATCCCGGGCTCTTGGTTGTAATTTTTGGCCTTGATACAGGGCTATAAACTTTAACTGTTTTATTTATATACGTTCAAGGGGACAGTTTGAAATTTTCAAAAAATCGATTTTTTTTTCGTTTTGTTTCTAAACAGTAGTTTGAAGTCTTAGCGTTACATTTCGCACGCGGCTCAATTCCATTCTAATGCCATTTTCAAATTTCTAGTGTCGGTGGAATGCTAAGTTCTGTTCGTCCATGTATTTTCATTATTGAATTTAAAGCGAGGGAATATTTACTGATGAACGGACTGCAGATTTCAGAGGGAAATTTAAAGATGCAAGAATGACTAAGAATATGTAATAAAATATTCAAAGTATATAGATTTCGTGACATGAAACGAAATGTGACCAATTTTTATTCATCGATGCAACGATTAATTTCGTAGGATAGAAATACAATGAATATAATTTTATAAAATAAAATATTTATAAAATAAATAAAATTATATTCAAAAAATAAAATAAAACAATTTTATAAAATAAATAAAATTATATTAGAAAATAATTTTATAAAATAAATAAAATTATATTCTAAAATGGATCGTTAAATAATGTTACTAAAAGGATGTTCAATATAAAAGTTACTAATTCTAAGAGACTAAGAGACTTTTGTCCGTTACTGTGCAACTAATTGAAGTCAATGTTATCTTACTTCAATATTAACTTTATTATTAATACGAAATTTATAGAAATTCCGTGTTTGCGTATCATTGTTTCTTTTTCCTGAACGAATTCGTTCTTCGTTCAAGCCCATCCTCGCGAAACTAAATCCGTTTACACGACTTGAACGCCTATTCCAAATATCCAGGCATCAGCCCTCGGTCGTATCCTTCATTTTTCCAGCCCTGTTTTCGCATCGTGTTAAGACATTCAGGGCGGCCGTCGTTTACTCTCGGGCAGTCGTTCGGTTTTCACCTCTTCGAATCTTCGTTGAAAATTCAAAGAAGTCCCTCCCGAGGAGGCAACCGAAAAGTAGGTCGTCGGAATAAAAGCGCTTTTCTTTTAATTGTCCCTCCGCGAACGGATGTTAATATCGGCCCGTATCTTGCCGTGGACACTGGATAATTGCTGGCCCTTATTACTTCGAAGCACTCGAATTACGATACCCGGCAACCCCCGTTTTCAGGCTGCCGCAATTTCGTTTTCAGCTTAATAAACCTCGTTAGTTTGTCGTAATATCGACGACGCTTCTGTTCGTCTATTTGCCCACCGTTCAAATACTTTTTTTCGTGCGAGTGCTTTCGCCCGATGACCTCGTTTATCTTCTTCGCCATCTGATTTCTGATTTCACCTCTTTCCCTTTCGAAATTACCAATTTACACTCTTCTTGGAGTAATTTTTTAAATTTAATTAAATTAGCGTTGCGTTTGTCGAAAGTTCTTGTTTATTTTTCTGTTTCTTCAATTCTAACTTCTTTGACTCAATTTTTACTCTGGTAGTTCCAGTGTCAATACTCGTTGAAGCCATTTTTAATGTACATTAAAATTACAATTTAATTATTGTACAGTTGTTCGGTCTCGAGCCTCGTTTCGAAGCACCGCGAATTTGCAAAGCATTCTTTTCACACGCGTTAAATTTGAAACCGATTTTGAAACGCGCAGAGAAACTGCGAGATATTTATCCCAAAAATATACAATAATAAGTAAGTGTACAGCAAGTGTAAATAAGTATAAGTGTACAATAATTATTAACATTACCAAGCTTTAAGGTGTAAAAATTGAGTTAAGGAAGTTAGAATTTTCGAGTCTCTGAGAAACGCAACGCTGTAGAACCTAATTTAAAAAAAAACTACTCCGTAGTGTGTATTGCAAATTGGTAATTTCGATCACTTTGGCAGTTCCAGCCGTATGGAAATCTTCTTCAAACCGCTTCAATCTTAAGGTGTAAAAATTGAGTTAAGGAAGTTAGAATTTTCGAGTCTCTGAGAAACGCAACGCTGTAGAACCTAATTTAAAAAAAAACTACTCCGTAGTGTGTATTGCAAATTGGTAATTTCGATCACTTTGGCAGTACCAGCCGTACGGAAATCTTCTTCAAACCGTAGGAAAACCAATTTTGGATTCGACTTGCAAAGAGCTCGCATCGTGAGTGAAAGTCGCCGAAAGTCTCCTTTTCTTTTCATTTTGCATCGAGCCAGTTTTTTCGTTGCAAACGCCTCGCCGCGAGATTATCCGCCGACGGATTTACGATCCCGGGCGAATGAATAGAATTTTCGTATCCGATATCTGGTTTTTCCTTTTTATCCCCGTTTTTTTATTTCTTATCTGGGGTGTGACGAGGTGTGGGGGCGAAGGGACGGATTATGTATTCGCGTGATCCCATTACCCGAGCCTATAACCGAAAGGAAAACTGTTTTCGTGCTCGAAGGGAAATGCAATGAAACTTCGTTTCGATGCTCGCGTTATCGCGTTATCGTTGTTTTCCCTTGCTGCGAGGAACTTGCTACGGCGAACAGCGAACGGATCCTCATCCTCCCGATCTTTTTGCCAACGGATTTTTTTCCCGTTCCTTCGTCGGAACAACGAACGACGAGTTTTAATTGCTCTCGGTAACGGTGCTTCTTGGATGTTCGTGCCAGCCGGTAGGTCTTTTCTCAACGCTCGGCGAGAACACCGCGGCCACGATATTTCCCCCGTTTAATGCAGAGTCCTATTGTTCGTAAACTAGGCGACGCATAATGAAACAGCGATGTCGTAAAAGCGACGCGTCGCAATTCATCGGCTGCGTATGCACACGGCAATTAAGCGCCGAGCACAAACGATACCAGGTATTTGTTTCGTTTCTCCTCTCTGCCAGCGTCGGAAGCTGATTGTGAAATACGGTGCTGCACGGACGGAACGAAAAGGATCGGTCGGAAGTTGCTGTAAATATCTGATGCTTGGCAATAATTGTACGAAAATGGCGTCTGCCGTACTATTGTACGCTGTATGTTTACCGTATTTTTGACGACGGTTCCACTTCGACGAGAATTATTTATTTGCGCGGTTGCTCCTTGCAATCAGTTGGAAATCAATTAAGGATACGAATTAATGAGTAGGATCTCGACGTCGGTCGACAGAGACAGAGAATGAAGTTTCCATTCAATGAGAAATACCCATCATCTTCCTCTCTGCAAGTATTGCATTCTATTCCAAGCTATTTTTCTTTTTTTCTTTTTTTCTTTTTCTCTTTATTGAAACCGCGGAAATGTTGTTGATATTATATTTGTGCAGTTTTGATTTCGCGTGCTCGATAAATAAACTCGTCGATCTCGCGAGGGAATTCACTTCGTTCTCGTGAGGGGGCAAGAGTCGGACCGAATTCCCCCAGACTGATTTATTTATTCGTTAATTAAATTGTCACGGACGAGAGACTCGCAGGGAAAACGTAATTTGTAGTGGCGGCTTCTTTACGCGATCGCCATTTACGGAATTGCCAGGCACTCCGTGAAAATTCATCTCATCCGTGAGAATCTCGTTAAGGAACGAGCGGCGAATTTGGATCGCGCCAGTCGATAACTTTATATTCCGGCTGCCAGCGCGTCTCCCTTCGAATTTTTCCATCTCTCTCTCTCTCTCTCTACCGACTCTGCACACGTACACACGCACGCACGCGTCTATCTTTCTGTTCTTTCACGACAGCAGCGTATCGAAATGCAAGACGTGGTATGGTGCATCGAGTCTCGCGTCGTTGGTTGCACGTGGGCTACGAGGCAACCAGCGTATGTATCCAACGACTAGATGGACCCACGTCTCAAAAGGACCCTTTAAATCGGTTTTCGCGGCGTGGAATCGTTTACCGTCTCGACAGACGTGAAACAGAGAGAAGGCAGGAACAAGGGGATGCCTAGAGTTTCACCGGTATCCGCCGTCTTCTCTTGTTTCACCACTTGGCTCGTTCAACGTGATTCCGGGCTTCGTCTAAAACAGAGGTTCCCCTCCCTTTTCAAATAGAAACATTACTCAGCGCCTGAAAATCAAGCGAACAAAACGGAAGAATGCAAGAAATTTGCATCATTTTATATTATACATATTCATCTACGTTCTCCGACATGGAAGAAAATAAGAAAAAATATTGTTGCATATTGTGATGTTGGATTCCGTGTAATGGAGTCAAC